ATCGGGTCATTCCATTTGACTTTCCAAAGTTACCCCCTGTTTCACCCTTAAGGAGGGGTAGGGGGTGGCTAGCGGTAGCACCAAATAATGTCCCCTTTGGTCACATTAACCTTTTTTTAAGACATTTTTCCGTGAAATGCGTATTTCTCAAGATATTGAGCTGTCTCAAGTTAAAAGAAACACCCTGTATAATTAACTTAATATTTTATTTTATTTTTATTAGATACATTTTAGCAGCGACATATAGCGATTGCAAGGGATTACCGATAAAAAAATAAAAAATCGACCTGTAGTTAACCAAGGATCATCAATCCAAAGAAATTGTACCGCGTGTATTTCTGCACTGATGCAATATAAACAATTTTAAAGTATAAGAAATCCCATTTATTTATTTAAAACACTGCTTTTTCTGTAATATAAACTCAATAGAATCGCTCAATCGACAGGTTTAGACCAACAAATTATAAATGTTAATTTTATCGAGCGCGAAAAGATTTTTCATAAAAAGGTTAAAGTCACCCGCGGGGTGCAAAGCCACCCGTTTTTATATGCCCGTGTTTACGGTACCTTGTAAAGCATTTTTGGAAAAAATGATCTAAAAACCCTGTATAATTTTACCACTACATACAGTGGTGGACATGAAATTTTGAACATAATTTGGTTGTCCTTGTAAATAGCAAATAATCTCTGCCAAAGATATTGATATTGACCATTTTTGCTTTTGCTGTCAAAATGACAAGATAGTGCTAACCGAAAGTAAGGTTAGTTGTTCATAAAGGTTAGCTTAGATTTTGATGTCAACAGGATCACAATCCTTTGGATTGTGAACAGGATGATTATCATAGCATTTAATAAAATGTAATGTAACGTTACGTAATTTAATGTAATTTAATGATAAATTGTGCCATTTTTACATTTAGTACATGTTGACAAGACTGCCCAGCTAACAAAATTGATTATGTAAGTGTTGTTAGAACTGCTATACAACACATATTATAGAAACGCTAAAACTGTATAATGCGTTTAAAAACTACTATACAACACTTACTCAACCAAAAAGGGCCCCGTTTTATAAAACAGTTTACTTCGTTAGCAGTTATATAAATACACTACACAACCCTTATAAAACTCAGTATCAGTATACTGGGGAACTGCTATACGATTATACTATAGCGGTTTTACTCTGCAGCTTAATTGCACTTTACGAATATTTATAGAATATTAAAACAAGCATTTTATAAGTATGTTATAATGCGACAGAATCGTTATAAGAACATCAATTTGTTTCCTTCTCTAGAAATTAGGAATGGAGTGGGAAATTTTTATCCTAAGACTATTTTATAATGCGAATTATGTTGGATGTCAAACGGCTAAGATCCAAAATGGTGCTTGTTGTTTATTATGTAAATATAATTATTAAACCTTTGAGATTTACGCTATCGAGGACAACATCTTCCTGCGGAGCAATCTTTTCTGACAATATATGTATATATTTTTAACGAAAAATTAAAGCGCCAGTTAACAAACATACCTACTAAAAATTATTTAAAAAAAAAATTAATTTTTTATTTGACAAAGTTTCATGTTTTATAAAAATATTATTGTTTTATTTGTTCAGTTTATAATTGACTAGTCTTAAGATTACATTAATTTTTTTCAAGAAAATTCATTTTTAATTGACAGTTTTAACGTTTGTTGGTAAAATTCACACAATGGCGGCGATTTATAAACAATTGATCGGTCAATAAATATGGCGTTTTTGTTATAAAATGGTTTTGTCTTTATAAAAACGTTATACAATTTATCTGCTCTGTCGCGTGCGTTATACGATATTTAGGTTCTGTAAAGTTGTTTAATACAGGCGCTATAAAAGTAAAGCAAGAAACTGACATTTGAGATGTTGCCAGATTTTATCTGTATTTTTCAAATTATTTGTTTTTTTTTAGAATAAAATACTCATTTTTGGTGCAGTTAGGTACATCAAGTAAAATTTTATTTATCCTGCACGACGTTACCTTTATTTTTTATGCAAATATGGATTTGTAGGTAACACTGCTGGCTAAAATAACAACCCTGTAAGTTCATTTTTCGTATTGGCTATAACGCCTTTGCCTACTGCGCAATAGAACAATAATATCGCTTAAGGTATGCATTGTACCGCACTATACAATTGTGTTCTGTTTTATCCACTTTTTAGCGGTACCTTCTTTATCTACATGTGACCTAACCTATTTTTATTTTTTTTTAAATGCCCACTTTTCTTAATTTTTTTCCATTGAGACTCCATTTTAAAAAAAATACTTAACTTATTTTGGCGTAATAAGACACTAAATGTATAAACAGACTTAAGTAATAAAATTATAACGCAGAACTTGCGATAATTTTATTTTATAAACTTTCTATAAAGAAGTTAATCGGTGTAGTTATAGGATAATTATAAAATAACTTTATACTTACTGTGTAGTGTGTTTACTTCTGCTTAAAAAAACAATTTTTTAATGTATCTTATAGAGCTTCAATACAACTTTTATACAAATTCTATTACAACTATCATAAAACGTTGAAACTACAAGTATAAGAATAGGTATACAACTCTATTATAACTTTTATACAACTCTTTTAAAATAATTTTATAAGGGATTGTATAAAACGTTATACAATGGTTAAAAAATGTGTATGAGTTTGGTTCTATAACACGAGTTGTAAGAATATATATACAATAATGTATTAGAATTTCGTCGTTTTTACGATAAAATTATTGTATTAAGACGCATTAAACAATAAAAATGTTCTTTTTGCAGCTCTAGACGATAGTTATAAAACAATTCAGTTCTTTAAGGGATTTATTTTGCTAGTTGGGTGGTTGACTAAATGATAATTTTTTTTCTACTCCTATTCAGAGCTGGGCAAACTACTTGAAAAAAGTAGTGGAGTATAACTACTAACTACTTAATTAAAAAAGTAGTTTAACTACCTAGTAGTTAAACTACTTATACAAAAAAGAAGTTAGATTACTAACTACAAGTAGTTAGTAGTTAAAAATTTAACTACTTTTTTTAACTACCCTCTCTGGCATATTACAGCTACCAAAATGGCAAAATAACTCAAAGTTATAAAATTTAATAAATCACTTAATATTAGTATTATTATTATTATTAATATTATTTTAATTTAAAGTAAATGTTAAAAAATAATAAATATGAAAAATATTAATTTCAGACATAATTATTCTTTATTTATTGCACTTATGCACTTTACTTGTCGAAATGTAGGATTGCTCAATAACAGTAGTAAATAAGACAAAATGCGCTAGGCGAAGGGTTTTCAACAAGTTCTTGATAACAACTAATAACCTGTTTCTGCAGGGATACAATCATGCACATGGCATATCTAGGAAATTACTTAAATAACTACCTCAAACGTAGTTAAATTATGTAAAAGTAGTTAAAATATATTAAAGTAGTTTAACTATATATACAAAGTAGTTAGGACTGAGTAGTTAACTACTTTTTACGAATATTTTATGGAAACCTAAAATAATAGAGTATAACTACTAGGTAAAAAAAAGTAGTTAAAATACGATTATTTTTAGAAAAAAAGTAGTTAACTACGTAGTTAACTACAGTTGTAGTTAACTACTGCCCAGCTCTGCTCCTATTACATGTTATTGACATTATTAGGGTTTTTTTCGTTTATAATTGTAACCAATATAACCGCCGCGCCTAACAAAGTTAATAATGAACTCATTATTCACGTTGTTAGGCATCAGTGATTGGCCGATTTCAATATTAACCCAACCCCATCCTCGTGAATAATAGCCTGAATTATCTCTTGTATAAGGTTGGTATTACGCTAAGCAAGCAAAGATTCATTTTTATATAATATAATTTAAGAAAAGTTCAAAGTTGGCCAACTTTACATTACATTACGTTACATTAAATGCTGGGTAAACGCGTCCATAGGGTTATATAGTTTTGTCTTTTAAATTAAATTACGTCAAGTTTTTTAATAAAAATTTGATAAGTTTTGAACAATTTTTATTCAGGGTAAAATTCCATCAAAAGGCTTTATTTCCATGAAATTTAATGTAATTTTTTTAAATATTTTAGAAATAATTTAGTATCATTCAGTATTCCAAAAACCAATCACCCTAGTATAATTACTTTGTAAGTACATAGTACGCAAGCTCATAATTTTAGTACAAATACTATAATTGAATAGGTCAATGCAGAAACTGAATATGTCCACTTTTTAGGGATATTGAGTTAAACATGGATTTACTATAAGTAAAGGGTGCCCGATCGAATGGCGTAGAAATTTCACATGTCACGGTAATCTAGATTATACAAAGGCGTTAATATAGTAGAGAAACGGAATATGTCCAGAACATGTCCACTTTCTGTTCAGTTTTTCTTATTTATCTCAAAACTAGATAGGTAGGACATATTCAGTTTCTGCATTGACGTATTCAATTATACTTGGCAATCATGTCGGTACTGCACTACCATTTGCCACATATTATGTTCCGACCAGAGATATTAAGATATTAAATATATCTTCAAAAGAAATTCCTACTCAATTTGGATATTTCCACTGCAGTGGCAAATGGCAGTGCAGTACCGACATGATTGCCAAGTGCCTGCCTAATAATATGAGAACACGAACAAATTCTGAATTACGCGAGCTTAGCAATCAAATTCGTTTGCTCGCTTGGATTTAAATGCACCTTTAGGCAGGCGAGGATACAGGATTTCGTTAATTTTTGTGTAATTTTACTAATTTTTCCGATCATTCTTTCTAAACAAAAAATTTGATAAAAGTTTAGTTTGTTATCAATGTACCATTTGCATTTAAATAATGTAAATAGTCTGTATTAAAAAAATATAAAATAAAACACATAGTATCGTTGAGTAAATCAACAATATTATAGTCAGGGGGGCAATTGCACCCATTGCCACCCCCCCTTTAGGTGTACATTTTTAAAGAAATTTTTTGTTCAGATGTAGTGGGAATTTACATGTTTGATCAGGAGAAACTGCTCCAAAAAATGGTTCAAGACTTTGACATGCTTAAAAGCGTCATAGCAGAAGATTCTGACACGCCCGATTACGAAGAATTGCCACCTTACCCCGAGTTGGATAAACCAAAAGAACTAACACTGCTGGAAATCGAAGCCAAGGAATTGTACGACAAAGCGATGGTTTATCTGAACAGAACCAAACCCGAAAAGGAGGTGGCTTTTAAGTTGTTGATTGAGGCTACAAATAAGGGAAATAATGATGCTAAGGCTTTGGTAGCCTGGGCTAAATTGTTCGGAAATCCATTGGTTCAAAATTTGGAACATGCTAAGTTGATGTTTAGTCAGTTGGCAGATTTGGGTATGGCAGATGGACATACTGGATTAGGTAAACATTTCGGATTTTTATTTGGACTTAAAACATTTAATGTTTTTTTTAGGTTTTATGTATGCCACCGGTTTGGCATCGAATGTAAGTCAATCGAAAGCATTGGTTCACTACACGTTCGGCGCCATTGGTGGAAATACGTGGGCTCAGATGGCCTTAGGCTATCGCTATTGGTCGGGCGTTTCCGTATCGCCGAGTTGCGAGAAGGCTTTGGACCACTACAGGCAGGTGGCTGACAAAGGTAATGATGGTTTTAAGAGTTAATTCTGTTTAAGTTTATTATAACAAATTTAAATATACCTTTTAATTTTGTAGTAAGTCAGGGAGTGTCATTTAGTGGTGGCGCTGCAGTTCAGAGAGTGAGATTATTGGATGAAATGGAAAATGGGTATTCATCAGGGATACTAGACAATGATCTTATTGAGTATTATCAGCTTTTGGCTGAAAAGGGAGACGTCCAAGCTCAGGTAAGTAATATAATAATAAAAAAATCAGCATTGCAGTTACACAATAAAAAAAATCAGTATTGCAGTAACACAATAAAAATATCAGCATTACAGTAACTAGAGATGTACAAAAACGGTTTTTTTCAGATGTGAAAAAAAAACATGAAAAAAAACTAGAAAAAAAACCGGTTTTTTTTCAAAATTAAATTTTGAGTAAAATATATATTAATAATAAAGTGAAATGTAGAATATATTAAATTTTTCATTATTGAAAATTTTTACCGAGACTAAAAAATCTGATTTCTTATTATTTGGTAGTTTCCACATTAGAAACCAGTAGCAATGTAAAACTTCTACACCAATACAAAAAATTAAAGGATAAAAAAATTGTTTTGCGATTCTTCGGATACTGTATCTTTGTTAAAAATGGTCGTATTGGAGCCGTAAAAAAAGCAATTTGAAGCTTGAAGTTTCTAGTTTTGAGATTTTTAGATGAAAAATGTGCTACGCCCAATCCTAACAAATACCGTAATAAAAAAAATCGATATTTTTGGCTTTCTGGTCCACGGAATGTTCTGACTTAACCACCAATGAGTAAATGTTCTACAAGAATTTGCTATTGTTTTTTTGAAAAAAAATTAATTCCATACTCAACATGAATTTGAAAAACCATGAAAAAAGTGCTTTTGGTAGCTTTTTGAAAAATCAAACGCTGAATCAAAAATATTATATATTATATATTATTATTATATATTATATATTATTATATGTAGTTACTTTTTTTTAGGACCAAATCAAAACAAGCGCGGCCCTTATTGGTCAATTCGGTGGTGGTGGCGCGTGCATAGCGCAAGACTGTATTTACATTTACTAATTGTCATTTAGTGGCTAATTTTAGTCCATGAAACCTAAACAATTAGGCAAATGGGACTAATCTTGAAAAAAAACCTAAAATGTGAAAAAAAAACATTTGAAAAAAAAACAATGAAAAAAAACCTGAAAAAAAAACAAAAAAAACGGACCGTTTTTTTTCAAGTCGCATCTTACAGTAACACAGGCTTACAAAATTTTATTTATTGAAATCAGGCTAAACCTTTTAAAAGGGTTTTCAATGGCTCCTCGGATGACGATGGATTTATCGATTTTTGATTTTTTTTTGAAAAATTTTTGCAAAAAACGCATTTTTTTAATGCAATGATAGTTCATTCCTCATTTTTATCATAATGACTAATGAAATTTCCTCATTTTTATCATAATGACTAATGAAATTAATTTACATTACTCATTTTTTTTCGTTTAATGGAGAATTACTTGTATTTTCTCATTTTCAATTTTAAATGAGTAATGTAAGAATTTAAATTACATTTTTTTATTTTAATGAGTAATGTGGATTTATTTCATTACTCATTTTTTTAATGGGGAAAAAATGAGTATTTCATTGCTCATTTTTAACAGGTACGGAAATTATTATTTTTTGTAAATAACATTTGTTTTTTATTTGAATTGGATATCAAAATAAAATACGAAAATAGGTTGTAGTTTGTAATTTACACATTTTATTTATGAGTAATGTAAGATGTTCCATTACTTATTGCAAACTTTTTAACGAGTAATGTATTGCTACACTACTCATTTAATTGTTTAATGAGAATTGAAAATGTTTTACATAAAAATTTTTTTTTAATGGGAAATGGATTAGAATTACATTTCCATTAAAAAAAAATTACGAATGCATTATTTTTTACATTAGGATTTTTGCAAAACTGCCAGGTAGGTATTACATTAAATGTACTATCCAATTATAACATAAAGGCTTACTCATATTCATTTTAGAAAAAAGAAATATGCTACTAGGTAGTACATTTTTTCAAAAAATTTTGAAAATCGATAAATTCATCTTCATCTGAGGCCCATTGAAAACCCTTTTAAAAGGTCTGATTTCAATAAAATAATTTTTGTAACAGTTATAACTTAATACACTAGTGCAGCGGTTCTCAAACTGTGGTACGCGTACCACAAGTGGCATTCAAGGTGGTACGCGAATAGATAATAGATGTACTTGCCTTCAAATAAAATTATCGTTGGCTCAATTTTATTGAAAATCTATCATTTCCCACATTTTATATTGTAAATGGCAACACTGTTGTTGGTGTTTATTAAACGGGTAATCCCCTGCTCGTTTTAAAATCGTGACGAGTCATGCGTATTTTGTTTTGTTCTGACAAATTGTTGTTTTAATACTATAAAAATTGGTTGTGTTTCACGGTTATCAATATTTCTTATTAAACTACAAGTTCAATAAATACGTACAGGCAGCACAACTTGTTTTATTTAGTTCGGTGGTACTCGATTAATCCACATTGCACATGAATGGTACGCGAAAAAAAAAGTTTAAGAACCGCTGCACTAGTGTATTAAGTGTAGGAGTGAAGAAATTTTAATTTAATTGTTAAAATTAAATAATAAGAATTACAGAGGTTCACAAAATTTTAAATATTTTTATTTTATAATAATATATGTAGATTTAATATGGACAACATTTTTTACGTTTTTATTTAGGTGGGTTTAGGTCAGCTTCACTACCAGGGCGGACGTGGAGTGGATTTGGACTACCAAAAAGCATTACATTATTTTACTCAGGCCGCCGACGCGGGAAATGCCATTGCAATGGCATATTTAGGAAAGGTAAAAAAAAATAAAAAATTTAGAAAGAAATCCCAAAAAACATTTTTTTAGATTTACTTAGAAGGCAGCGATGAAGTAAAAGCAGACAATGATACCGCTTTTAAGTACTTCAAAAAAGCATCAGATCTAAACAACCCAGTGGGTCTAAGTGGTTTAGGTCTTATGTATTTATACGGTAGAGGTGTGGAAAAAGATTACACTAAAGCTCACAAATATTTCTTGGCTGCAGCTGATCAAGGCTGGGTCGATGGCCAGCTACAACTTGGCAACATGTACTTCAGTAAGTAAATTTTGTTTTACCAAAAGTCATTTTGGCATCCTATATGTCGACTTTGACAGTTTAAAGACTTTTGTTATATTAAACGTTGACAGTTTTAACATCTTAAAAATCTTACGGTATTTAACAGGGTTTGCCTGATTTAAATCATTTGATTTAAATCACGATTTAATTCAAGTGTTTTTTATTTTAATCAATGATTTAAATCAGTTAAAAAAAAAAGTTTAAATATCTAAAACTAAAGCACAATAATATCTTGACACTATTTAAATAAATCCATATGCATAGAAAAACTACTGCTTATTTTGTTAAATAAAATAATAAAGGAATATACAAAAAAATATATGACAGTTGCAGACAGTGGTTTATTTGTTTATAAAGTAGTGCCAATATAATATTATTATAGTCTCGCATCAAAAATCAAAAATCTATTGTTTATTTATAAAAATATAGTGCTAAAATTTTGTACATAAATATATAGAGTAGGTTGCAAGGCTTTAAAGAAATTATTTTTATTTTGAATTTATTTTAAACATTAGGTACCTACTTTACAAAAATATTAAAAATCGAAAAAAATATAAATACATTTTTTATTATTTTTATACAGGGTGTTCCGAAAATAGTATGCTTTAATCTACAAGCAGTTTTTGGGGCCAAAAATAGGAAAAAAACTTTATATGAACATAAGTTGGCAAATGACCCCTAAGGAACCTACAAAGCCCCCAAAGGGGCGCCCTGAAGAAGTTTTATTATTATTATTTCTGAAACGGTTTGAGATAAGTAAATTAATGTACTTTTTTTATTTTTTATTAATATTTTTTTTTAAATACTAAATTGAAAAAAAGACAATTTTGTTGTTAAAATTTATATTTTTATCTAAAAATGGTGCATTATCTATGTTTAACAAGATTACCTTTTTTACGTAAAAACTAAATTTTCCAACCTGCAAAAAAAATTGCACACAAATTTATGGCCAAATATACACTTTTAATACACTTATAAATAAAAAATTTCTTATTTTTAAATTTAGCATAAAAGTTAAAAGTTTCGGAAATAATAATAAAAACCATCTTCAGGGGCGCCCCTATGTTTATAAGATTTCTTCCTTTTTTTGTCCTATCTATGCTTAGGTCCCAGTAGGGTCCAGATTAGTACAGATTATAGGTATAACATATCTAAATTTAAACAAAATCGGATTTTTTTCTTGCCTGCTTGAAGTTCGCCAATGCTTTTGACAGTTACCGACGTTTGATGATGCTTTAAATTTAATGTTGATTTGTAGCCTAGGTATTAAAAACATTTATAAAAATTAGTTGCTAGGTTTTGCTAATTCCGAAATTATTTGAAAATATGTTATAAACACAGACCTACAAACAAGATGGACCGGTTTATTTACATTGAAAAGAGTGGCCAGGAACAAAAATAAATATTTTCCCTCAGTTGTCACATTTGACTTTGAAGTTTCTATATTTTACGTAAAAGATACTTGGAATCCACAACATTTAATATTTTTTATTTGATTTTATAGTGAAAAATACCAATAGTGAATGATATAAAAATGGTGAAGCAGTGCTACGTTTGTAAAAGACTTGGATCCAAGAATTTAAAACTTTCTTTTCATAGGTTAGTTTATTTACAAAACAAACCCTGCCAGGAGCGTAGAAACTGAATAAATAAATGAATTCACTTAAATTTTAGATTTAAACAGCCAGATTCTACATCATCTGGAACACTAACTGACAAGGTTAGTATTTTGTTATACCTATATATTTATATATATTAAATATAATTTTTACATAGGATTGCAAAACACAATAAAAAATGTACAATTTAATATTTTTATTTATCCCTAAAAACAGAACGCCACTGGTGTGGGAACTTGTTTATAAATACCCCTTACCCCTTTACCCCTAATCTAAATAGTTCTTGGCAACAAAACATTGTGTATTTTGAATAGGAAAGGCCAGTCCATCTTGTTTGTAGGTCTGTGGTTATAAAACTCAATACAAAACAGATATAAATTGTTTTTTTGTGATAATTGAAGGAATTTAAGTAATTAAAGGCTTTAAATAAATTTTATTTGGATATATTTTAATGTATTATGCTGCATAATTTATGCACAAACAAAAATAAAACTTTCACTTTTTTACTTAAAATATTATGTTTAATGTGTAAAAAACTAATTATCATACTTAACCTATAACATTAATTTAAGAGAAACATAAAATATTAAGTAACTACCTACTTCATTAAAAATAATATTTTTAGTGGAGAAAAAAAGTTTTTTATTTTTTTGTAATTGTCGAATATACATATAAAATTAAATCCAAATAAACTATAATTTAAGTATTATAATCTACTGTATATTCGTACAACATATTTTGAATAAAATTTTACATAAATGCATTGAAACATCCAAAAAAACAATTGATATCGGTTTATGGGTTCTGAGTTAAATCAGATTTTTTTGAAAAATTTCGGAATGAGCAAAAACTAGCAGCTAATTTTGATAAATACCTAGGCTACAAATTTAGAGCATTGGTAAACGTCGGTAACCGTCAAAAGCCTCGGCGAACTTCTGTTAGGCAGCAAAAAAATAAAAGTTATAAGATTTTGTTTAAATTTGGGCCTGAACATAGATCTCAGTTTTTTTAGGTTTTTGACATTTGAAATTGATGACGCAACAGAAAACATTCGCCGTGGCGAGTATACGCGAGGGGTAAACCACTTTAAAATCTTAGAGACCAACGTTCAATGTTAGTGGACGTTGTGTTGTGATTTTTTTTCCTTATCAGTCGTTATCAATAAGGAAAACTTGCTTAATCAGTGCTTAGCGACGCGTTGCGCTTGACTACCCTTGTTATTGTTATCCTTATACATTATATATTAGCCGTTAATTCGTAAGCGATTTTTAATTTTAAAAAATCAGTTGTTTACCCCTTGACTATACGTGATATACTAGAGACAATCTTGCAAAACAATGTCTCATGAGAATTTAATTTCTTGAATAAGTTTCAAAGTGTAAACATGATATATTGCGAATATCCCATGCGACATTTATTTCACTTGTGCACGTTAGTTTCGCTGTTGTGTAGTGAGATAAAAAATTGTATTTTTCCCAAAATTAAGTAAGTGAAAATAGAGGTTTAAAAAAATAATGTAAGTTTAACTGGACAGGAGCCATGATACTACAGTTATACGACTTAAAAATAGTGACATATAACTGATTTTTTCCTCAACTCAATAGGTGGCGTTGGAGGTAAGAAAGACTACAAGCTGGCCAACAAATACTTTTCATTGGCTTCCCAATCGGGTCACGTGCTGGCCTACTACAATTTAGGACAGATGCATGCGCAAGGCACCGGCATGCTTCGATCTTGCCCCACGGCGGTCGAATTGTTTAAGAACGTGGCTGAGAGAGGGCGCTGGGGAGAGATACTTATGCAAGTAAGTCGCTTAAGCTAATTAGAACTGATTTCTTTAAAATTATATTTGTAAAAATATCAATTTTTCTTTTAAGGCACACCAAGACTACAGAGATGGAAGATACGACCAGGCTTTTGTACAGTATGCGCTGTTGTCGGAGTTAGGTTATGAGGTGGCGCAAAGCAATGCTGCGTATTTGTTGGACAGAGCAGATGTGCCCATGATGCAAATGCAAGAGTCGTTGGTTAGAGCACTTTTGTACTGGGGCCGGGCGGCCGCCCAAGGTTACTCAGCAGCACAGGTAAACTATAAAGGGTGTACAGTTAATTTTTTTTATCTGGACTCGTGTTTTTGTTTGCTAGGTTGGTGGCTTATGCCAGTTTGACTTAGTATTTTTATTATTTAAAAATGGTACTTCTGCTAAAGAATTTAATTAAATACTTTGACACTGTCAAATTGACAATAATATTTATTATTGATAATTTACTTGTCAATTATAAATAAAAAGATAATTATGCCAAAAATAATAGCAACGAATTCGAATGTAAAAGCCCTTTTGAGGGCAAAACTTCATTTTGATGAAATTATGCCAAATGCCACAATGGAAGAAAAAGTACATCGCCTTATGGACATTTTTGGAGTAAAAAAGTAACGAATTTGGTTTTATAAATATTACATCACACATTATTTTCACATTATTCACCATTGGACAACATTTACGTTCACAAAAAAAAATAATTTCTTTTATATAAATTCTTTTCAAAGCAAAGATTATTATCCGCTAGGAATACTTTCTCTTCTAGGCCGTAAAGCAACCTATATTTAACTACTTTTTTTATATGATTTTACTCATCCAAGCACCACCAAAGCCAAATTAATTGCATTTTTAACTACGAATTTCGATAACTCAACTTGACAACTGCACAATGTAACCTACAATAATTTATACATAACCACAATTAGATTTATAACTAGCTTAGTTTGTTTTAATCAATGCGACCAACTTGACAACTGTATTTACCAACCAAAACCCTAAATTTGCAACGTTGCCGCAGTCCAGATTAAAAAAAAATGAACTTTAGGTCTCAGACAATTAAAGAGAATGGACGTGTAACGCCTTTTCCACACAGGCGTAGTGTGCCGAAAGTGAACCAAAAAATGGCGTCGCTTCAAGGTATTAGTTTTGTGTTTTTTGCGTTTATTTTTATTTCTTGTTTTGACCCTCATAGTCTAAGTTTGGACGTTTCCCCTTCTACAAAACCTACAAATGGCTTCAATTCTTTAATTTTGCACCATTTTTTGGTTCATATTTGCACATTATGCCTCCCCTCCTTACTCAAATGTGTGGGTATAATAGACTGTGCTGTATTTAGAGGTGCCTCTTCATGATTTTCCATTAAAATAAGAGGGACATTTTCTTAACTTTGAAAAAGATCAGTAGGTACACAGAAAAGATGTATTCTTATAGGAAATTGAACGTCATATGAAAAGGTTTCTTATCTATTTATAATACTTCTTCAAAAGTAATTCAAGGTCAAAGTTGAGTTTATAGTGCATTTTAATGTTTTTTACTTTTCCGGCGAAAATATCACTTATCACAAAATCTTATTTGTTGATACTTTTTTTTCTCAAATTGTTTTTTATAAAGTTTTCAAAATTCCTAAAGGATCGTTAGTTATTTGATTTTAAATGTAAATTTGTTCAAAAAAATCTTGTAAATTTTAATTAATACATTTTTTTTGTTATTTTTAAAATATCAAAATTAAGAGCCTAAATGTTAGTATTAAGGGATTAAAGGTTTTTTCGTCATTTTGAACAATATTTTTGATATTTCTTTTAATTAACAGCTACAAGGTTTCTTAAATTAATGAAAAGTTACATTATTACAAGTCTATTAAAATGACATTTAACAATTAAATAAATTTTTATAGACGCAAAAATAGCAGTAACAGGGTGCACCAGCTTAAGCAACAAAAAAAATTAAATATAAAAGATACCCATATATAGAAGGATACTGGGTGCACCCTGTATGATGGATTATAGGTATAATAGTATATTAAAGAACTAATGTCATAAGACGTCATTTTGTCGCACGCGGACAATTTATAAAACGAGCGACGAAGGAGCGAGTTTTATAATGGACAAGTGCGACAAAAGGTCTTATGACATGAGTTCTTTATGCTATTTTATCTATTTTGCAAACATTTCATAAAACAAATTAATTTTATACCTTATATTTAATTTGGTCGAATTTTACTTTACATAGTTGGTATCTCAGTTTGAAGTTTGAAAGGTCATTAACCTTTCAAACATTATCACATTCTTTCGCTATGGCGTCGTTAATTTACAATAAGTATTTATAATAAGCGGCTGTTAAAGAAGAAAAAAGGATTTTCTTTGGTGTTAACAAAATTTATTGCACGAAAAGTCTCGTAAGTACTAGAAAACAAATCATAAAAATATTATAACCTATAGGTATTCAAAATTGTATTTTACCAGTAGCCAACCTATAAAATCAAAATTTTGGGTGGAATAAAGTACCTCATTAAAGAACCAAAAGCGGTGTTATAATGAAGTCATTATGAAACCAAAATAGATAAAATTGTTTATTAAATACAGAAAAACAAACTTAATAAGGAAAAACTTTAATAATAAAAATAAATCAATTAAAACAAATCTGCGGTTCTCAAATAATTTAAAACAAACTGAAATTCCGTCAAAACAAAAAATTGTTAAGATTGATATTCCTGGAAATTTTGAAAATACAGATTGCCTACTAGATTTTGTGTCACCATTACCAACTTTTGTTTTTCATATAGCCGCCATATTAGAATTTTATGCAGTGATAAAATTCTAATTCTAAAATTCTAATATGGCGTGACCCATTTGTTTGCGACTAACCGTATTTGTTTTAAAGTGTAGATCTTGATACACTGCATTTTTTGAGCAAAAAACGCCATATTTTTACAAAATACAAGGCCAACTATGTCAGTTTTTAAGAAATCATATTAGCGATTTTTTTAAACAAAATCTAAGCACGGCACTGGATTCACCACCCCTCAAAACGACCCTTTACTAAATTTTATTGAACAATTTTAAGAAAAAAAATGCAAAATAACAACTACAAAAATTTATTCAAGTCAAGTCAAGTTATTCATGAAAAAACATTGAAATAAAAATAAACTTATAGTAAGTAACTTACAGTTAGTTAAAAAAAAATAATCATATATACATATTAGGGTGGTCCTTGAAACATTTTTGGGCTTACCTAAAAAGGTCACAAATCATGCACAGCAAAATAATCCGAGCATAATTTATTTTTTGCATACCTTATATATTCATTAGGGTGTCTGTTATTTCCCAATTTGTTTTTTTTCACTTAAGTATCATTTAAATAATTTTTTTAGTCTTAAAACAATTTAAAAAAAATCAATGTGTGTTTAACTCTGCCCTAAATGACATTTTAATTATGTAAAAATTATCAACTACTAATAAATAGACATGCAACAATATTTAAGACATATTTTTGTGGGATTTAGTTTTCAAAATTGTTTATACGCAAGTAAAAAAAACGACTCCATAATAAAAATTACGCAAAAGTTAAAACGTGCCAATATTAATAAAAAAATAAACTATTTATCTGTGCCTAATTTGAGGCCATTTTGAAGGGTGCCCTAAAAATATTGTTTAAGGACCACACATAGAAGCCTTCTATTCTTTTAGAAGAATACTTATGGTGCATTATAATATAAAATTTTAAGTTTAATTATTTCTCCAAGGTAAAACTGGGCGACTACTATTACTACGGCTTCGGCACGCCAGTGGACTACGAAACAGCTGCCACTCACTACCGTCTGGCTTCCGATCAGCAGCAGAACGCCCAGGCGATGTTTAATTTGGGCTTTATGCACGAGCAGGGCTTGGGCATGTCCCGGGACATGCACTTGGCCAAAAGATGCTACGATATGGCCGCAGAAACGAGCGTTGATGCCAAAGTTCCCGTGGCACTGGCCCTGTTCAAGTTAAGCCTGGTTTACAGCATTGAAAGTATACAAGATGTATGTTATTTGTTTTTATAAACTCTACCAAGTTTTCCAGTAATTGAGCTTATCTCAAATTATTTTTTCAGGGTCCAGTGGCTTCTTTTGCGGAAATAACGGAAATGCTTGGCTCAAATTGGGATTTATATTTAATAACAACTCTAACAGCTCTGTTAGCTGGAATAATTTATTTTAGAAGACCTCAAGTACCACCACAGTAAAAATATTGTGTTAAATTTTCTTGGAAAGTCTATTTTTTTTTAAATTACAGATTTGTGTATGTGACTGTATTAATAGTGCATATAATAATAATTATCTATTTAAAGGTGTCTTTCTGTTCACATTTTACATTTTTTTGAGACAAATAAAGTATTTATTATTATATGGACATCAGTTTAATAAAATTTATGGTGGCCATTTTCAGAAAACCGGGAAATGTCAGGGTAACTTTTCCAGAGTCAGGAAATTATTACTAAAGCCTACTGCACAACAGCCCGGTAACTAGAACGGGAACCTAAACGGTAAAGGTGGGAAAAACTCAGCAAACTCTATTGACCATCAGTGATTTCTTAGTATCTTCCACCTTTATTGTTCAGATTCCCGTTCCCGTTACCAGGCTATTGTGCAGCAGGCTTAAGTTAATACCATATTTTTTGCCAGATGAGATGACAGCACATACAATTTATTGTCGTGAGTATAATTATGTCTCGCTAACGATGCGGAAATTTTAGGATTATATAATTTATATTTTATCAATTCACGTATGGTAGCCCAAACTAGATTCTGGTTACCTAGTAACTTTAGCTGTGTGATGCGTGCTTTGCAGACCCGCGCATTCTTTAATTTTCTGCGGTGTGAGATACAAAAGGGTCTCGGAATTTGAGGTTAGGTCATCTGTCAAATAATACTTTCCAAAGGCTGCTTAAATTTGAGTTCCATTTTCGGAAACGCAATCGAAAAATATTCTGACAGTTTTTTGTTGGTTTGGGCTACTGTGCATGAATTGACTATATCACAATCCTCACAATGTGGAGTACCTATATCATATTATGAGGAGTATAGTGCAACACTGGCCTATGTACTGGCCTAACTAAAAATTGGCATCTTGTGTTTTTATCTTAAAAAAAACTTAATATTTAAAATAATATGGTGCACTTTAAAAATCAACAAAAATAAATTTTCCTTTCATAATATTTACATACAATAATGTTTGGAAGATTTGACTAATATTTTATATATAGATATAAACAAAATATGCCAATTTTCAGTTAGATTGGTGTTTCACTATTATAATATGCCTTTAAGGGTGCAAATTTCCCACCAAAAAATGGATACTTTCCTAATCTTTTTTAAATTTTACTAAATTAAAGTACTAGATATTATTAGGTACCTTCTAAAGGATTTAGCAGGGGTGCAAAGTTTAAAGTTTTTCTTTGAGAAATGTAAAAAATGGTTATTTGTGTACCAAGGCCAAAAAGTGACGTTTATTAAAGCGGCCGAAAAATAACACTTTATAATGTCTGTTTTTATTTATAATTATGTCAATAAATTAAATGATTAAAATGAGGATTGCCTAAAAAATGTTGTGTGCACCACTGCCAAAAAGTATTATTTTGTCCTTTTGATGGCCATTAAAATCAGACTTGTTGAGAAAAAAGTCACTTTTTGGCTTTTTGAACATAAATAACTATTTTTTACGTTTGTCAAAAAAAAACTGCACCCCTGTAATTTGATAACCAGAGGTAATGAAGCAAAATCTTATTAATTAAAATTAATAATAAATAAAATTTGAAAAAGATTGGGAAAGTAAACATTTTTTCAGTGGACTTTTCCATCTTTTTAAGATTTAAACAAATTATATTTCTTCAAGAAAATAAATCAATTAAATTCATTTTAATATAGTGATTTTAAAAAACTTACCGTCAAGTTGTGGAAATTTAGTCAAAAAAAGTTGCCACCCTGAATATTGTCATAATTTATTTTGTATATATATTGGCTGTAATGATTTTAATTAATAAATTGTATTTGTATACCTACCTAAGCAGATTTCTGTTTTTAAGTCCAAGCACTGTTTTGTTGTGATTTTCTTGTTATTAGATATATTTATAATTTTAACATAAAAAATAAAATAATACCTATACAACATTGTAGACTTTTAATTATAACAATACAAAAAAAACTTAAAAAGTATTTTTGACCAGACTAACATCACTTTTTTCTCTCCAACAACTCAACAGCTAAAAAATGTTCTATTGGTAAAAAATCACAATTTTCCTCCTGAGGTCTACCAAAACTAAGTGTAAATCTGTCCTTAAAAATCTTTAAATAATACTTATATGAAACCTTAGTATCTGGAAACTTCTCCTGAAAAAGTTTGTACATCACTTTAACATTTAATTGTTCATTTAAATACAACTTATTGTCTTGATACACTTTCACAGGGAATGATTTTATGTGCTCTTCTATCTCCTGGATTTTATGCTCCGGAATGGCATTTCCAGAAGGATTTTTACCCCGCTTATCATCAGGTTCTTTCCCCATTGTAAGTAAAAGACCCAAACGCCTTACTCTTGCAGGTGTTATGGCATGTATACTTACGAAAGCTTTCTTACAAACCATAATTCGATTTGTGCAGTTTAGGTAGTATTTAAATGTGAAACTTCTTGGACGAGGTTCAGCCAAGTTTCTTGGTCTCTTTACTTTTGGGGCGCTGAATTCTAACAGGCTTTGTAGGTATGAATCTTGCTTATTTTTTGACGATAAATGACGAAATTTTTCCAGGATTTCTTGTCTTTCTTTTGTTGTACATCTTTCAAAACATTTGAACATGCACCTATATAAAAATTGTTATTAAAAAATAAGTATTTTTCTTTGCAGGAAATCAAAAATATTTTTTTAATTTTAAGGAATTTTTTTTATATTAAAATATTTTTGATATCATTCTTACCGACAATTTTCCCCCTGTCCCCTTGCAGGAACCAGCATCCCCCTATGATTTACATACTCAGCCCCAGTAATTCTCGCTTTTTTAATAATGGCAACCTTTTCCAACTTTTTTCCGCCCTTTTTTATGCCTTCTTTGTTATTAACATCATTTCCGCAGGACATCGCTCATTTGTTTTCATATAAACGTCAAAATGGCTGACATATGCTCTTTCTCATATGACCGAATACTTGTTGCATTATGCAACCCCTTTTCGCGGCGGCGGTTTGTTGGCAAGTTGCCAATGGTAATCACAAAACTAGTTTTGTGATGGCAACACGTTTGTAATGGTTTAGTATTATTTCTATGGTTGGCAATAGTGACATCTGACATTTACACCATAACCTTTCTTTTTCAAGTTGACGTTTCACTGACATCAACGCAATTTGCATCAGCAATCTGTTTACTAAAAACTAAGTGAAAATGGTGCTCGATTTAGATTTGTTCCGTACCGATAAGGGCGGAAACCCTGAAAAAATCAGAGAAAGTCAAAAGAAACGTTACAAGGATGTCGGTCTTGTTGATAAAGTGGTGGATTTGGACACCGCATGGAGACAACTAAGACATAAAGCGGATAATTGGAACAAACTTAAGAATGTTTGCAGTAAGGAAATTGGTGAAAAAATGAAGAAAAAAGAGTCTCAAGGAGATGCCAATGAAGCTGTACCAGACAACATACTGACCAATCTAGAAACTGTAACTGGGGATGATTTGAAAGTTTTAACTGTCAACCAAATTAAAAAGGTAATAAAACACCTAAATCCCAACTTTTAGAATATTAAAACACATTTCAGACTGTTAAAATCAAATTTAAGAATGTCCATATCAATATTTTTTTTATATATTATAATGCTATTAGCATATGCTAAACTACCTTTTAGCTAACAAAACAGTTTTCTTGACTGGTGATATACTCAACAAATTGTACTAAAATAATATTAAATTACTTTTGAATACTTGGTACTCAGTCCAGAGTACATTTTAAAAAATGTACTTGTTATTTCATTTAAAAAGAGTACATTGGATATGTTGAGTACATTTCTTGTGCTAAAGTACATTTGATGTAAGTGCTTGAGTACTTTTGACAAAAGTCTTTTGTTGTACTCAAGTAAGTCCAAATACAGTATGTGCATATTTATCGAAGGCGTGAAAAAATATAGGTGTTAAACCCCAATTAAAAAAATGTCCATAATTTATTTCAAATTGGGTTTTTAACTTAATGGGCAAGGCTAGATTAAGCAACTTGAAGGCCCAGGCTATTTTGAGGTCCTTTAAAGGATTTTTTTAGCGACGACATTAAAACGGAATAATACGAAAAACCAAAAATATTGAGTATATGGTTATAGGTACTCAATATCAAATTTGTAAAAAAATGTAGAACATTAAATGTACTATAAAGTTGCTATTTAAGTTTTTGGCCTATCATCGATAGTTTAGTTAAAAAATCTAAATATACATAGTTTTTAAAATTTTGCATTTTTTAAGTCCTTTGGTAAGTAAAATATGAAGGATAAAAACTTGACTCCAAAACAATTTTTGTAGAGAATTTAATCATCAGTTATAAGAATAAAAAGGAGCTACATAGAATGCAGAGAGAAAGAACTAAAAAAAAACATTTTCCTGTGTAATTTTAAAACATGTATTTGGGCAGAATTATTATTTCGACGTATTCTATGAAACTTTTAAATGGGCAAAAAAAAAGATTTTACCTTTTTTTGGAACACCCTAATGCATATTGTAACGTTTTTACCGTTCATAGTGTGAATAAAACACGCACTGATTTATAAACTAAACTATTTATTTTATAACTTAATTACAATTAAAACACTATAAAACTAACTAAACACGTAAGTACTAATTATTTATATATCACTACTGTACAAGACAAGAGTCTATTTGAGGAGCATCCGTGCAAAACCGGCTATATCCACTTTAATAAAATGTTGGGAAATTGGAAAAACTCTCGGTTTTCTGGCCTTTACAGATAAAAGAAAAAGCAAACTTGAGTTTTGTGGGCTTTGTGGTACTTGATTTATAAGACATACTTTCGTTTTCAAAAACTTTATATTAAGGCCAAAATTTCAAAAAATGTTTTGGATATAGCCGGTTTTGCTTGAAAACCGAATAAAAAACGAATAAAATGTAAAAAAAAACTTTATTATTCAAAAAATACATATAGTGCAAACATGAAAAAACAGAACAAATTTTAGTAGTAGTATCAACATATCCAAGCCACATATTATCTATTATTTATTGGATATAGCCGGGTTTGCTATAAAAAACGTGGATTTGGCCGGTTTTGCTCCTAAAGCTACCTTTTAAATGTGATTTTAACATGGATTTAGTCGGATTAAACTGAATTATCCTGGTTGTCGATAGAAATGAACCCAAAGATGCGAAATCAAAAAAAAAACAAAAACTGAATAAAATGGATTTAGCCGGTTTTGGACGGATACTCCTCATTTATTTGCACGTATATTTATTTTATTTCGTCGCGAGTACCAAAACTTAACTAACTCCATGACGCTTCGCCAGTTTGTAGTATTTAGTTTTTTAATTTAGTTCCAACTGAATAATTTTATTCCATAATTTTTCAAATTTTAAAATGCCATCTCACTAGCGGGATGTGGTTTGCCAAACATTATTAAATATGTTAAGAATATCGTTAAAAAGTTAAAATCACAAATTAAAATATAGTATTCTAACTTATTTAGGTCAGAACCGCCATAGATGAGGCCATAGTAAAAAACGACAATGACTTACTCAAAACCGAAAAAGATCGTAATGAAGCTTTGAAAGAAATAGGCAACCATCTACACGAATCAGTACCAGTTGATGACGATGAAGATCACAATAAAGTGGAGAGAACTTTTGGCGATTGCGAGCAACGTAAAAAATATTCCCACGTCGATCTAATCCATATGGTTGATGGTATGGATGGTGAACGAGGTGCCGTGGTCTCAGGTGCTAGAGGATATTACCTCAAAGGGGCTGCAGTATTCTTGGAACATGCTCTTATACAGTTATCTTTAAGGATTTTGCACAAAAAAGGATATACTCCACTGTATACTCCTTTCTTCATGAGGAAAGAGGTAAAAACACCACACATTTGTTATTTATTTTAACTATTGTGCACATTACTGTCTAGTGTCTAACATTGCTAACTCATAGATTATGCAAGAAGTGGCTCAACTCTCCCAATTCGACGAAGAATTGTACAAAGTCATCGGCAAAGGCAGTGAAAAGGCGGAAGAAAAAGAAATCGAAGAAAAATATCTCATCGCAACTTCGGAACAACCAATAGCAGCTTACCATAGAGATGAATGGTTGCCTGAAGCTACTCTACCAATCAGATACGCCGGTTTGTCAACTTGCTTCAGACAGGAAGTCGGTTCTCATGGAAGAGACACCAGGGGAATTTTTAGAGTGCATCAGTTTGAAAAGGTAACCAAGAAGTCTTCTTGAAGGTAACTTTATTAAAAGTGTTTCAAACCATGTAGTCTAATAAAGGATATTACAGGATTATATTAATTATGGTTTTTATTGTTTTAGGTAGAACAATTTTGTTTAACATCCCCATTTGAGAACAAATCGTGGGAAATGATGGATGAAATGATCTCCAACGCCGAAGAATTCTACAAACAACTTGGGATCCCATACCGCGTGGTAAACATCGTATCAGGAGCACTTAACAACGCAGCTGCTAAAAAACTTGACTTAGAAGCATGGTTTCCAGGTTCAGGCGCTTACAGAGAATTGGTTTCTTGCAGCAACTGTCTCGAATATCAAGCCAGAAGACTATTGGTGAGATACGGGCAAACTAAGAAAATGAACGCTACTACCGATTACGTACATATGTTGAATGCTACCATGTGCGCTGCTACAAGGGTTATTTGCGCCATTTTGGAGAACTACCAGACAGAGACAGGAGTTAAGGTACCTGAGGTGTTAAAAGAGTTCATGCCAGAAAGTTACAAGGATGAGATTCCGTTTGTCAAGCCTGCACCTATTGATGAGGAGAAAGCCGGCAAAAAGGGAAAGAAGGAAAATAAGAAGAAAGCTGCCGGAGAGGAATGACTTTTATAGGCCAGTTTATTTATTTTTTGCATTTATAAATCAATTTTACCAGTTATTCCACAAGATTGTTTTTAATAAATCTGCTTTAATATAATTTAAGCCTTTTATTAATTCTTATTCCTATTATTGACTAGGTGAACCCTAAAATTCTTTATAAGCAATTATCAATCCTTATGAACCTTTCAACTCAAATTCATTGAACACTGTAAAACGACACGGAATTGTTTTCTCAGTCGCTTAAATCTGTCAAACTTACCTTGAGAACTTTACTATTTAAACTAATTTCTCGCTAAAAATTATAGATTAAGTTGTACGAATTTTGATTTTTTGGCTGTTCCTTTCGGTTTTTCCTAATGTATTTTTTATTTAAATTACCCCTGTATTGAGGAGAACAAAACAAAAAAAATAGTACACTGCGCGTCAAAATTAACGAAAAATAAGTAAAAAAAATCCAACTCTAAAACGCCTTTACCAATCTTAATAAAATTTTGGATAAAAATACTTTAACTTATATCTCAGTTTACGTGTGCAAGGGTTTTTCGAGAAAATATCCATAAAGCCATTTTATTTAATAATAAAAAACGCTCGAAAAAAACTTTTATAGGGAAATTCTTTTTAAATTAAATAAAAAATATGCTGTGAAAGGCCGTATTTTTGTTAGTATACCCTGAAAATGTACAAATCAAACGAACAGTAACGAAAATACAGCGCTTCAGTCTTTAAAATTGACCACTTTTAAGCAAAATATTTAAAAAGGGGTAATTTTTTCCGACTTTGAAGCGCTGTATCTTTGTTACGGTTAGTCAGATTTGTACAAAATTTTCAGGGTATACTAACAAAAATACGGTCTTTCACAGCATATTTTTTTTAAAACCACCCCTGTATTGGGGCTAACAAAAATTAATGAATTTGTGGTTATGTTTTTTCATTTAATTTGAAGCGCTGCTACGAACGCCATCTTTTCAAATTAATCCAAAGTTGTAAGAATTTCGATTGTTTACCTTTCGGTTTTCCTAATGTATTTTTTAATTTAAATCACCCCTGTATTGAGGCGAACAAAACAAAACATATTGAAATTGGTTGAGCCATTTCCGAGTTTTTCATTTTTATATAGAAGATAAAGATAATGTTTTTGGTAAATGGCGTACTCTATAATTTGAATTTTGCATGATAAGAAATTAAATAAAACAGCCATATTTAAAAATAACGTTAATTCTTTATTATTTGTACTTTATCACAAACAAAACATTTAAAAGTAACAACAAATCGCTGAGAATTCGGCATACAAAAATAAGTACATACACATGTATATATTTATCAAAAAATTATGTACAGCCAGACTTATGTACAAAAATAACGGGACATTCTTATTAATATTAAATTAAGTAAATGGCAGTCAAAGTTGAGATGAACACATACATACTCAAATATGTATTTTTCTTAGTTGGTTTGTTTTACATCCCTCGTCGATTTCTTCGTATTTCCGGACTTCCAGTGTAAAAGCTGCTCGGGTCGCCGTACACAGGCTCCCTTGATGTGTTTGCGTTGCAAGAACAGTTCAACTTTTGGCATTGCGACGCGTTACTGCACCGCGAGATGTTGCTTTGATTGGGAGAAACAAACGAGCTTCCTGGTACTGTCCTTCGTTGCATTGGAGAGTAATTTGCAGCTGGAAAAAGTTGTTGAACATTTTGATGAAGTTAAATATTTGTTATAGAATATTAAGGGTTAATATTTAAAACAACAGTTGTTAATAAACGTAAGAAGCTTACAACAGAGAGCCGAGCAATTAGGTGAGTTAAAGGAGTTTCCAAGTGCGGATGCATTAGCTGAGCATGCGTGCTTGGCCGCATTTGCTGCGCATGAGTGCGTAGGCGCATTTGCTGCGAACTTGTTTGGTGCGTATACATTAGACGAGCCTACAATCCCAACACCAAGGGTTAGTAAAGGCCTTAGAGCATACAACACATGGAGTAATAATGTGATAAGATTTACAATCCCAACACCAAGGGTTAGTAAAGGCATTAGAGCATACAACTAGAGATGCGACTTGAAAAAAAACGGTCCGTTTTTTTTTGTTTTTTTTCAGGTTTTTTTCACATTTTAGGTTTTTTTTTTCAAGATTAGTCCCATTTGCCTAATTTTTTATGTTTTCATGGACTAAAATTAGCCTCTAAATCACAATTAGTAAATGTAAAGACAGTCTCGCGCTATGCACGGGCCACCACCACCGAATGGACCAATAAGGGCCGCGCTTGTTTTGATTTGGTCCTAAAAAAAAGTAACTTCCTACATATAATATTTTCGATTTAGCACTTAGCTTCAAAAAGCTACCAAAAGCACTTTTTTCATGATTTTTCAAATTTATGTAGAGTATGGAATTTTTTTTTCCAAAAAAACAATAGGAAATTCTTGTAGAACATTTATTCATTGGTGGTCAGAACATTCCGTGGACCAAAAAAGAAAGCAAAAAAATCGATTTTTTTTATTACGGTATTCGTTAGAATTGAGCGTTGCACGTTTATCATCTAAAAATCTCAAAACTATAAAGTTCAAGCTTCAAATTGCTTTTTTTACGACTCCAATACGACCATTTTTAACAAAGATACAGCTATCCGAAAAATCAGAAAAACAATTTTTTATCCTTTAATTTTTTGTATTAGTGTAGAAGTTTTAAATTACTATTGGTTTTTAATATGGAAACTACCAAATAATAAGAAATCAGATTTTTTTAGTCTTGGTCAAAATTTTCAATAATGAAAAATGTAATATACATACATTTTACTCAAAATTTTATTTTGAAAAAAAAACAAAAAAAAACCGTTTTTTTCTAGGTTTTTTTTCATGTTTTTTTTCACATCTGAAAAATAGTAGATTATGTCATAAGGAGTAGAAGTGACTCTTTTTGTGGTGAGTACAGAGATTGGCGGCCGAAGCGTAGCTGAGGCAGGCAACTGTACGAAGCACAAAAAGAGCTTCTACTCCAAATAACATATACAATTTTTTTTTCAAGGGCGTAATATAAATAGGATAAGCAATAGAATTATTTTATTTACTCATAATTTATGTGGTATAAAATTTTGGCTAAAAGCATTATAAATTATTGTTAAAAACTAAAAAAACTTATAACCCTTACTTACAATGCCGATAAATATCCTAAACCATAGATAACAAAGCCTTTAACTAAAAATAAACACTGCTCTGTCAAAATGCTGCGCTTGAATTAATTTTGACGTACTGACATTTGTTTGGAGTTCCGACATTGGCGACTCGTCTATCATCATAATATTATACTAATAAACTAGTTGTTCTTTGTTTCGTTCAATTAAAATTTAATAAATAATCACTAAATATTCCGTGCGATTATAATTAATATAATTAATACATCGTGATTGCTTTGTATGAAATGCTAAATTAATTTTATTATTTGACGTCTATTGAGACACCTATGGATTTACTTCTATCCCTAGGCTTTTTTGAGTTTTTTGTCTGCCGCTAATGAAAAAGACGCACTTCAACTATCTCTATATAGGCATACAAGGTTGTATATCATGGCCGCTTGAAAAAAAAAACCGTTTTTTTACATCTCTACATACAACACATGGAGTAATAATGTGATAAGATTTTAAATATCACCCTTTATACTTTCTACATGTACTGATCCTTTGGGGGTTGCCTTACCAACGTGATATATGCTCTAAGGTAAAAGCAAATAGTATTTACAATAAAATGTATACTTACTTCTTACCAAACTTCTGTCCCCTGTTAATAAAATTAAGAAAAAATTACAAACAAATTTCAAACAATTATCATGACAAAACAATACAGGGTGTCCGCCATTTCACTCGCAAGGAAGGATTATTTTAGTACAAAAATCTGATAAGTATATTAATTACATGAAAAGAATAATAATTTTCAGTATTTATTTATTATTTATAAAATATTGAATAAAATATTTAATTTCAATATTTTAAAAATTGATTTTTGTTGCTAACTATAGCTACAAATTTAGGAATTTTTGGAATATTTCTAATATTTGTTTAACATATCACCAAAGTTGTCCTTTTTCTAGTTTTAGTAATTATTGAACAAATAAATTAGCCATTAATAAAAATACGCTAAAGAAGCATCGGGTTTTCGCAACGCGCGCGCCAACTGGTGGTGTTTGATAGCATTTGAAGCATACGAACTACACATAATTTTTAAATAAATACGTAGTTTTTTCACAAAAGAGAGAAGGGCGTCTTACTCGACAAATTTTGTTCAATTGCACAGCTAAATCGCGCACATTATTTGTGTTTCGCGATGCAAGTAAAAAACTAAAAAACTTCAGTTTAGTACTTGATTTATATTTATTATTCCTTAAATCATTGATTAAGAAAGTCAACGATTATATGCTTGTATAGATACGTTAGTGTGTATTGCATTTTCATGTTTTGCCAAAGGATCCAACACGGTATACCGTGTATATTTGTTAGTACAGAATTAGTTTAATGATATTTTACTTAATATAATTTATATATAAGTTTGGACATTTTTAGTAAATCTAACAAAACAATAATTGTTCTACAAACAACCTTAAAATCGAACACTTTTATATTTGAGTCCTCTAAAAAACAAAGCCAACAACTGCATTTTAAACGACAAAATATACCTACGAATTCATTGCAACATAATATTATAATAATATAATATAACACCGGTTCTTGGTATTTTACCGTTGAGTGGAGACTTTTTTAATCAACGATTTTAATAATGCTAAATGCAGTGGCGGCTGGTGGATTTTATGTATACCAATATCTCAGTTATTAGACATGGGACCCACACCAAATTTATAATAGTTTATAATGACATGAAACATAAACAAGTTCGGCGCAAACAGAATTTAAATTGAAGTTTGCGAAAAAAAGTTCGTTTTTGCTGTCGCCTCACCCGCCTCCAGGCCCCCCTATTTAAGATAATTCAAATTAAAGTGGTGCAATTAATTTATTATCTACTATAACTTATCGACAAATTTAAAATTTATTTAAAAAATCCTAATATTACAGGTTTTATACCATTTTAAATATTTTTTTATTTTAATGAAATAAATAATAAAAATTTAAAATCGAATAAAATCTGTAATATTTGAATTTTTTAAATAAAATTTTAAATTTGTTGATAAATTATAGTAGATAATAAGTTGCACCACTTTAATTTGAATTATCTCAAATAGGCGGGCCTGGAGGCGGGTGAGGCGACAGGAAAAACTAACTTTTTTTCGCAAACTTCAATTTAAATTCTGTTTGCGCCGAACTTGTTTATTTCATGTCATTATAAAATATTATAAATTTGGTGTGGGTCCCATGTCTAATAACTGAGATATTGGTATACATAAAATCCACCAGCCGCCACTGGCTAAATGTTGTTTGAATTTAGACGACTTATTTGTTTTATGATTTTTAATGAATTGAAATGTTTACAATTTTTACGAAAATCATTACTAAAATGTGTACTTATTGTATCTAATAGATACAATTTATAGGTATTTACAGGGACTGTATGCAATTTATTTCTTCATTCGGATTTCCACCGTTTATTGGGAAACCGGTAAAACTCAACCCACGATTTCCTCTCGAAAAACACCCAACAACACAACAAATCGTGCCACGGTTTTTTTCCCCGATGTTTTTAACATATTCCGGCTTTATTCTTAAAAACACTTGTTTGCAACATACGCGTTTGACAGCTGCTTATTAAAAGCTGAATTCTGGTTATAATTATAACGGCCACGTGGTGGCGCTACTAGCGATGCTTCTTTAGCGTATAGCAATTATTTAACAATATTACCAATTACATGTGAAAATGTTACGAATTATTTAGATATTTAAGTTGACGTAATATGTCAAATAAATGTGGACTAATTAAATTTTCGATTTGAAAACAAATAGGTTATTCCTCTTTTTCGTTAACATATATGAATAAAATAATTTATTTTACTATTATTTATTAAAGTTGGTCTTGACTCTAACCAGCAATAGGTTATAAATTACATTGACAGACAGCACACGTAAACCTTAACTCGCATCCCATTGGTTGAAAATAATCCGTAATCTCTTAAACATAAAAGTTTGCGAACTTTGCGCTGCGAGATTACGGTAAGAGATTAGCGTCAGTGATTATATACCAATGTTTAAAGAATAGTGGTTAGAGAATAAATTTAGGCTTATTGCTATTATAAACCATCCATAATTCGTAACATTTTTACTGTTAATGATTAATAATTAATTATTATCCAATTAAAGAAATTAGTGAAATAATTGCTATTATTATAAATAGCTAATATTATTTGTTCAATAATTATTAAATATATAACTAGTTGCAATAACTATGCGAAGGAATTTGATAACCTTTTTATGAAATGGATGATTTCACCCATCCACTTGATGAAATTAACATAGAATATATATATATATATATATATATATAGTATACTATCCGTTGCTCCCTTATTGGCGGCTTTAAAAGTTAAATAATTCCTGCAATTTTGCGAATTACAAAAAAAATGGTAAAGGGAAATCTCTCTTGGAATTTTAAGAAGAAGTTATCTTTAGCCTTTGGGACACCATGTATATTTTAATAAAAATCTAAATACCAAATTACAACACATTTTTATAGTAAAAGTAACACCCTGTGCTATTTAATTTTCGATGATTTAAATCTCTATTTAAACACAAGCAAACATAAAAAGCTTAACTCACAATTATTAGGACTGCCCATGCGATTTGAGTTTAGGCTTCTGGGTCTATCCATGGTCATATTAGCTGCGCATGAGTTGCCTACAATACCAACAATTTAAAGCAAAAATAACCAACACCTATTACAAACAACAGGCAAAAAGAAGTAGAGTCACTTACCACCGTTTCCGGTTACATTCACGCAGACCACCGGTTGCATGTAGTGAGAATAGACTGTAATAAATTAATAAAAATACATAAGTTTGGTGTTTTAATGCGGTTGGAGAAGAAGGAGGTAATATGAAACCCTTCTTATAATGGAACTAGTGGCGATATTTATATCTTGTGGGTGTTTTGAAGATTATGTAAGCGATTTTTTAATGTCAATATTTGTAAGTTTTAAAAATAAAAAAAAATTAACAGAGAAAAAACAAAATCGGGTCCATATTATCTCCTTCTCTAGTATTGTACTTACAGTAGAATGTCACTAGGAACACCAGTAGCATTGCCAGGCACATAAGTAGGGCGTTTTTGTAGAGGAATAGGAAATTAAATATTGGTGATCTTCCTGATTGGCAAGACAAGCTTGCAATGCCACCAACAACCTTAACAATTATCTAGAAATAAAATAGTATGTGAAAATATTTTAACTTTGCTGTCAGATCAGAACAGTAAATGCAGTTGAAATTATGATTCATCAGAAATGTTTTAAATTGCAAAATACCTTAATATCTTGTTTAGTCATGGGCGATTTAATATGGATACCCATGGCATCTTCTAAACTAGCAATTCTCCAATGATAATCAATCAATTGAACCTCATATTTAACAGTTGTGGGGTTTTCCATAGTTCCTTGATCAATATACAAAATACTGCTGTCAGCTGGCTCAACCTAAATACAACAAAATATTAATTCTTATTACTAAGATTTCAGCTTTTCGCCTTTAGTTTATGGTAATTTTGACGTCATGTCATCATTTAACGTTTTTGTCCTCTTAGTTGTCATTAATAATTACAATATATTTTTCTTACCGATATTTGGCTGAGAACATGCGGCAATCCAACAAGCTCGAAAGTCGTCGTACTTTCGCCCTCGCCAATTAAAATTTCGCTAGGGTGGTACACCTGGGGTGCGAATTTGACCGTCAATATCTCTGACGTCATCGTTTCGTCCGACGTCACCACCCACATTAGCACATCAGTGTCCAAAACTGCGATATCTTTGTCGTACACTCCCAAACTAACAAACTTGCAAGCATAGGAACCTAAAAGGGACAATGCGTCTTCTTAATTTCAGAAAACAAATATTTCTTATATTTCTTAATCATATATAGAATTATTTTGTATTAGAGAAGTTGTGCCAAAGTTCTACAATTCAAAAAATCGTTTTTTGTTGAAACATTTTCGATATTGTAATGTTTTGTAGTTTACTGCCAGTACTCTCAGTACTAAAAACGCATTCCGAAATCAACGTTCAGTTACTGAGCTTAGTAATAAATATTACCCTTTTTATAAAAGTACGGCAAATATAATTTTACTAAAACCACTGGTGGCAGAAAGGTGCTGTATACAGCTATAGCAGCAAAAGTTCCTATCAAATAAAGTAATGGTTTGATGGGCTGCCAGATTTTCAAAATCAAAATGCGGGAGGTCAAATAAATAAAATTTAATTCAGATAAAATCAGACATTTTGGTCGAACATATGATATATATATTACTTTTAAGGTTTGTTCCCACTATTTAAATAATATCGTTTCCATTATGGCCAAAAATTTGGCACATTAATTTGTAGGTATTTGAGCTAAGGACAAAATATTCATAATTCATAAAGAAGAATATGGTTCTATAATTAGCGAGAGTGAATCAATAAATCAATGGTTTAATGGTAAAATCAGGGCTCCCACGGCTAAATTACAAATTTTATTTAGGAATTTAGGAGGTTTTTTGTAAAATTTTAGGATAAATAAAGTATGGAAATGAATTTCTTTAATTAAATAAAAATAACTCTTTACTACTTAAAAAGTAAGAAAAAAATTAATACTTCTTTTGTAAAAATTAGTTATATTTACTAGTTTTTTAGAAAAATCGCTCGACGAGTTTTTTTGTGTGAGGTAAAATTAAAACTTGTATATATCTGAGGTACATATATGAGGAGCGTTTATTCAAAAAGGGACATGTCCATTTTAGCGATTTGCAGAAACAAGTCAAAAATAACAGAATTCTTTTGCTTTTGACTTATTTCTGAAAATCGCTAAAATGGACATGTCCCTTTTTGAATAAACGCTCCTCATATATACAAATATAAATTTCACCACACTTTTAATTTTATTTTAAAAAATGCGTCGATAGATTTGGCTAAAAAAACTAAGTCAAAATCCAATGATGTTATATTTATATTTTAAGAACAAATATGTTAACTGTTTAGTTAATAGATAACAGTAATTGAATCAATAAGATTAAGAATAGTACGAGTCCAAAAGTAAAATTTTTGATAAAATATTTCAAAAAATCAGTTTTATAGTTAATTTTTGTTAGAATATTTTAACTATTTTATGAAATATAATGTTCATATTCTGTAAAATAATTTTTATCTTCTCACAAAAATGTATTTTAAACTTTAAAATTGATTTTAGAATAAATTGTCAAAATTAAATTTTTGCACTTGCACTTCTCACCGATTTAATTGTAATGTGGATCTTAATACTTAAAAATCTCATAACAAAATATAAAGTTTGCAAAATACAGCAAAACGTTCTTTAGATTGTTTACTATTTTAGCTGTCACTAAGAAAAATAAAAACCCTTTTGTTTGATATACAGGGTGTCCCAGAACTCGCGCCACATAGAAAACCGGAACGTGCCGAAAGTAACGTGAAACACATATTTGAAAATTAAAATTGTCTAACGCAAAGGATAAGCGAGATAAGAATAAAAAACGATAGCCAATCCCAATAGATGGCCATAGGGAATTCTTTAAATTGCTAGGATACTTAGGTTGCATTGTTGATAATAAAAAATATGTAAAATATTTGGTCCACTGGAATCCAATTCATTGTGACACTGCTGTCAAACTCCTGTCATTAATATTATATTAGGTTAGAAATTAAGTTATTATAAATAATGTTTTCCTTAGATGATTATACTGAAATGATAATTATTTATCGCTGTGGCTCCCGTCCCGAGGCGGGACTTAAGTTCAATCCCGATTGACGTCATAATTTTAAGATTTGTTATGTTATAATAAAATAATAATAAATTGTATCTGTATACATGTTAAGGGCACGTTAGTTACGTCATAAAACCAAACCAACCCAAACTCAACAACACAACCCAACCGACCCCGCCCCATTGAGCCCCCCCCCGCCCCATTGAGCAAAAAACCCAACTAAAATGGGCAAATTTATGTTACGATAAAAATAAAACACTTTTTAACAAAGAAACAACAAATTTATAAAATAAAAAAAATAAAAAAAGTTTGACAACTTCTAGTAGAATCGAACCCGGTACCTCTCGCATGCCAAGCGACCGCCCTACCATCTAAGCCATCCAGCTTGACACCAATTATAAAAGCTCGGGGAATAAAAACGGATTTACAGTGTGTGACGTCTGTCGGGATCGAAGTTAAGTCCCGCCTTGGGACGGGAGCCACATCGATTATTTATTTATTTAGTGTGGGCGCAACGCCAGGGAAACAACGCGAGTTTTTTCCCAGCCCTTTCCTAATCGTTATTTTAAAACATTGGCGTTCTGAAGTATAAGTCATAGATTAATAACCTCATTTTTGAAAGCTTTTGACAACTTAGTAAATACAGTTGGCCAAAAGATTTTTAAATGTTTTTAATACAATAATGTTCTATCGTCTCCTAGCAATTTTTAAAGCTCTTACGTTTAACCTAGGCGAGAGCTCTCGGTATTGGCTGCCGCTTTTTTGCTCTCATTCGATTACACTATTACCTAGAAATTTTTTATTTTTAAATTTGGCATCTCCATTGCTATCTGCACGCCCCCTTTTTCTCTGTGGCGCGAGTTCTGGGACACCCTGTATACACGGTATATTTTTGACAAAAAAAAGTAATATCGCTAAAAATGACAATTTTGTAGAAGTTTTTTTGTTGTTTTTAAGAAAAATTTTGGTTGTGATATTATATCATTTTACTTTTTAAAAAATAATTTTTTTAGCACTACCTTAATTAAACGCAGTCAGGTTGGACTATTAAATTTAATTTTTAGGAGTTTTAGGAGATTGAATGCAATTTTAGGAGAATTTTAGGAGTTTTCAAGATTTAAGCAAAATTTTAGTAATTATATGAGTTTTAGGAGGTGTGGGAGCCCTGTAAAATTGCTCTCTTTTCTCCATGATGCAATGCACTACTAAAAGAAATTTAAAGTCATGTCAAAATAATATAATTGTAAATGTCAAAATTTTTTCTTCACATTTTTAGTAATTTTTTTTATATTTTTTTATTTATTGCTTAAACGGGAAAACCCCATTACAGTATAAACATTACATATAGAGGTTGTGTCTTGCAAAGAAGACAATTACAGTTAATCACTAAATTAAAAATAGGTAACAAATTCTTTAAACAGATAACTAACATTATGAATTCATCATGACATTAGAAAAAATAATGTATGCAAGCCAATTTTGCACTAAGAGGTTTTATAACGAGCCGGAGGCTTCTTTATATGTGCAAAAAGTGTAGCTTTATATTCTTGTTGCAAAAAATATATTTTTCGTATCATAATCGTAACCTTTAACATAATTTTTTTGTAAAAATAATCATCGTATATGTTTTGCATAGCTTGTCTCACTTATAAGTTATAACAATGTACATACTATAAATTTAATAAAAAGATATATCTCTTCACAAATTGCAAAACTTTTGAATTAAAATTTGCCTGTAAGAAAATGAAAAACGCAACCCGTTACCGTGTTAGTTGCCAATATCTCAAAGGGGATTTATTATTTTTTGTGCAGTTACTTGAATAGTCATTTTATGCTATTAAGTAAAATAATAATCATAATAATTTGTCTAAACAAAAGGCTTTTTTCTTGTAAAATCGTAATCTTCATTACTCATAAAATTTCAAACATGCTTTTAAATTGTTTTTATTATAGAATAGATTTTGGTAATTTAACATTTAAATTTTTAAGGAATTTTAGATATAAAAAACAAAAATGTTTGGTCTTTTACCTGTTTCTGGCACAAAACTGTTGGATATGTTGAAAATCTCTTCAGGTTTTGTCTCTATAGTTTCGTTTGAAAATTTGGCAAAACATTGAAAAATAGTTGGTCTAACCAAAACTCTTACATCTGTTCTACATCTCCATCCAGCAATCTATAAAAAATGCCAATTTGTAGGAACTGTTAAAAAGTAACACAAAATGTATTAGGTCGCGCCATCTGTTGGCAAGTAGTGTAAGTAGGTTAAACTAAGATGTTTCTAAACGACGTAATAATTTATTACTAATAAAGCAAGTCAGTCTGTGCTGAATACTGAGACAAAGCGTATCATTTTGCTCCACGGTTTCCCTCCAATTCCAACAGGTTATGGTCCCAGTCCATAACGCGGTTCTTTGGGCTGTTTAAGTGTTACGCAGAAATTGTTTTAAGTGCATTGAAGACGATGTCATCAAATTATTTAGTAAGCGTCCCAAAACTAAAAGGGCGGGAAAATTACGATGACTGGGCGTTTGCTGCCGAAAATTTTCTGGTTCTGGAAGGTTTGAAGAAATACACAGATACTGAACCAAATATTAGCGAAGAAGCTAAAGTCGAAGAAGATAAGAAAACCAAGGCGAAATTGATTTTAACGATAGACCCATCGCTATTCGTGCACGTGAAGGAAGCGACAACTACGAAGTCATTATGGACAAAATTAAAATCCATGTTTGATGATTCGGGCTTTACACGGCGAATAAGTTTGCTTCGCAATTTAATCTCGACGCGATTGGAAAATTGTGACTCGATGGTATCGTACGTAAATCAAATTGTAGAAACAAGTCAGAGGCTTCGAGGTACGGGTTTCAAAATCGACGATGAATGGACAGGATCGTTGTTGCTTGCAGGATTACCTGAGAAATATATGCCAATGATTATGGCTATCGAACACTCAGGTATAGCCATTACAACGGACTCCATTAAATCGAAACTTCTAGACATGGAACAAGATGTCGGTAAAGAAGGTTGCGCGTTATATGTCAAAGGAAATAAAAGTTTTGTTGGTAACAATGGCAACAATGACAGAAGCGTTAAAAAAGAGGTTAGGTGTTTCAAATGCAAAAAAACAGGGCATTACCGAAATAAATGTCCTTTGTTTAATAATGTTAAGCAGGATAGGACAGAAAATGCATTTAATGCTGTATTTCTTAACGGTGAATACAGCAAAACAGACTGGTATATAGACTCTGGTGCTAGTGTACACTTAACTGTATATCGCGAGTGGTTGGAAAATGTTTCCACAGACATTGAGTGCAAAGACATTGTAGTGGCCAACAATGACAGACTTCCAGTAACGTGTGTTGGTGATATTAAGTTAAAAACTGCAGTTGGCGAGAACTCTTATAACATCACAGTTTTTAAAGCCATGTGTGTCCCAAGTTTGACAACTAACCTTTTGTCTGTTGGGCAATTGATTCGCAGTGGTAACCGAGTTGTTTTTGACGAAAATGGCTGTAAAATTTACAACAGTAAAGATAATTTAGTAGCTGTAGCAGATTTGGTAAACAGCGTTTATAAATTGCGAATTAAAGGTGAGTCACAATGCTTTTTATCATTGGCAGCAACTGCCAGCAGTGAAATTTGGCATAGGAGATTTGGCCATATCAATTTCAAGGATCTGGGCAGAATGCAGAATGGTATCGTAGAAGGTATGATTTTTAAAACCAATCGAGAGGCCAGAAAAGAATGTGTGACTTGTTGTGAAGGAAAACAGGCAAGACTTCCATTTAAAAATAAAGGTACAAGGGCAAGTTCTGTTTTAGAAATGGTGCATGTAGACGTTTGTGGGCCTATGGAAAACAAATCATTGGGAGGTTCCAAATATTTCCTGCTTTTTGTGGATGACTACAGTAGGATGGTGTTTGTTTATTTTTTAAAAAATAAATCAGAATCCTTTGAGTGCTTTAAGAATTTTAAAGCACTAGTAGAGAACCAAAAGAGTCGAAAGGTGAAAATATTGAGAACAGATAATGGTGGAGAGTTCTGTAGTAAAGAGATGGAGAAATTTCTTAAACAGAATGGTATTGTTCATCATAAAACTAATCCACATACACCGGAGCAGAATGGCCTTGTAGAGAGGATGAACCGATCAATAGTCGAAAAGGCCAAATGTTTATTGTTTGATGCTGGTCTTGAGAAAAAGTTCTGGGCAGAGGCTGTAAACACGGCAGTTTACTTAAAAAATAGATCGATTGCAGCAGGATTGGGAGATAAAACACCTTACGAGATTTGGTATGAGGTAAAACCCAAGGTTGATCATATTCGAATATTTGGTAGTACTGCTATGGTTCATATTCCTAAAGCCAACAGAGCCAAATGGGACAAGAAGTCGCAGAAAATGATTTTGGTTGGATTTGGTGAACAAACAAAAGGATATAGGGTTTTTAACCCAGAGAAATGTATAGTTACTACAAGCAGGGATGTGGTAATTATGGAAGAAGGTCAGGAAGTAAAGGTCATCGTGGAACTGGATAAAGTGGGAGCTTCTTCGGACAATGTAAGTGGTACACCTAAAAATGTCATAGGTGATGATTCCAGGACTTCATTGGAAGAGACAACTTTTGAATTTGATCCTGAACCTGAAATTTCCTTGGAAACTGAAGCTGAAGGGCTAAGTGATCAAAGAGATTTAGAAAGTAGTGATGAGGATTTTATTCCTGGAGAAGATGTAAATGTTGATATGCAGGAAAGACCTCAGAGACAAAGAAAGCCTAAAAGTTTTCCAGATTATGTTACTTACCTGTGTTCTGATTCAGATGTTCACGATGATCCTGCAACTGTTGAAGAGGCTTTGACAGGGATTGAAGGAGAAAAATGGAAAGAAGCAATGGAGAAGGAGCTTAAATCATTTGAAGAAAATGAAGCCTGGAAATTGGTGGATGTACCAAAAGGTGGGACCATTGTGCAGTGCAAAAGTATGACAGTGAAAATAATGTGCGGTACAGAGCCCGCTTAGTGGCCAAAGGGTTTACACAAGTAGCTGGAGTAGACTATTTTGAAACTTTTTCGCCTGTGGTAAGGTTCTCTACCTTAAGGTTATTAATTGCTCTGTGTCTAAAATTAAATTTAGAGACTAGCCATTTAGATGTGACTACCGCTTTTCTAAATGGATATATTAAAGAGAAAGTTTTTATGAAGTTGCCAGAAGGCATGAAAGTAAATAGAAATGAAAATAAGGTTTTACAGTTAAACAGAGCAATTTATGGCCTCAAACAAGCCTCTAGGGCTTGGTACGAAAGGGTGGACATATTTCTAAACAATTTAGATTACAAAAAATGTAAGTTAGAACCATGTTTATTTAGTAAGATAAGTGATAAGTCTATTACTATAATCGCTTTATACGTTGATGACTTCTTTTTGTTTTCAAATGATAGTATTGAAGTTGATGTTCTAAAGAAAAAACTTTGTGAAAATTTTAGAATTAAAGATTTAGGTCCTATAAAGCAGTGTCTTGGCATGAGGGTTAATTTTGATAAGAAAAATAATGTTATTACTTTAGACCAAGAGCAGTATATAAATCAAATTTTAAAGAAATTTAACATGTCAAATTGTAAACCAGTGGGTACGCCTATGGAGGCGAATATTAAACTTGATAAGGGTAGTATTAAAAAGGTTGACGTTCCATATCAACAGCTGATTGGTAAATTAATGTATTTGTCAGTTTTAACCAGGCCAGACATTTCGTTTTCAGTGAGCTACCTAAGCCAATTCAATAATTGTTACAATGAATCACATTGGAAGTGTGCTAAACGAATATTAATGTATTTGCAGAGAACGAAAAGTTACGGTTTAAGGTTTTTTAAGGACAATTTAGATTTGGTAGGTTTCGTGGATGCTGATTGGGCAAGCGATACTACAGACAGAAAGTCATATACAGGTTTCTGTTTTAAACTGTCAGGTTCTTCTATATCATGGGAAAGTAAAAAACAGAAGACTGTAGCTCTGTCGAGCACTGAAGCCGAGTATATGGCGTCTTCAGAAGCTTCAAAGGAGGCTGTTTATTATAAAAATCTGATTTTTGAGTTATTAGGTATTTCAAAATGTGTAATGTTGTATAATGATAATCAGAGTGCACAGAAGTTGTCTGGAAATCCTATATTTAACAAGAGGTCTAAACACATTGATATAAGACACCATTTTGTAAGAGATTGTGTGGCAAATAATCTTGTTAGGTTAGAATATTTGGAGACAGCTAATATGCCAGCTGACATCTTAACAAAGAGTTTATGTTCTATTAAACATTACAAACATTTAAATGATTTAGGAATTGTAGATGTTAATATGTAAGGATATTTTGTGTTAAGTGGGAGTGTTAAAAAGTAACACAAAATGTATTAGGTCGCGCCATCTGTTGGCAAGTAGTGTAAGTAGGTTAAACTAAGATGTTTCTAAACGACGTAATAAAGCAAGTCAGTCTGTGCTGAATACTGAGACAAAGCGTATCATTTTGCTCCACGGTTTCCCTCCAATTCCAACAGGAACCTTCTTCCTTAAAAATTTCATAAAAAAACGTAAAAATAAATAACTTACCAAATTGTTTGTCTTCATCCCGACACTCTTGTCACTGTGCAAAACAAGCGGTATCCTGGTCACAGTATCGAGCTCACCATTAGTCAAAATCAAATTCCTTGGCATGAAGAACTCGATCTCACTTATCGGAAGCACTTGGATTTGAAGTGGGCTGGCCGAGAGGAGCGAGTGCGTCAATACAACGACGCCCTCTTTGTTTTGCACGAAGGCGATGTCCAGTTCTGGTTGGATGAAGACCATTTTTGAATCGCTGGAACGCCACTGGCCGGGCGAGTTGTATTCAGAGATTACAGGTGCGTACAGACAGATTATATCCCCGGTCGTTAAGTCCTCCTAGAGGACAAAAAATATTGTAATTGCAATACCAACAGTATTTTTTTTACAATCACAATATTGTTTGCTTCTTTCAATTTAAATGTAACATAACTCCTTCATCCACTTTAATAAAAGTGTGACGTGGTATTAGTAATTTATAGAGATGGGAAAATTCCCATTTGACGAAAATTCCCGGAAACTTTCCATCGAAAATTCCCGAAATTTTCCGAAAGTTTCAAAAAAATTTTTTTTATTGCGAAAATATTTTTTTTATGCCAAGGATTTGCAAAAATATATAACACATTAACTTTTTGTCAAATTTTATTAAGAAAAAAAATGCAATACTATTTTTAGTATCTTTTACTTTGGAATATTCCTATTGTATACTGAAACCTACAAAATAAAAATAAAAGTTTTATATTACGTAAAAAAATTAAAAGGCACAAAGTAACTAATATAGGAATATTGAAAAGTAAAAAGTAAAGTAAAAAATAATTCCAAACACTAGATTTTTTTCTTGGCATTGTGCTATGCCTATAAATAAACAACAAAAATGTAAGAATGATTTGTTTACCTTTTTTTAAAATAGTTTTTTGTGATGATGCTGAATAATCCGGCTTCATTGAGGTTATGTAACATAACTTACATTATTTAAACTTCTTCTGCTTTAAATTAACACACATTAAATTCTTATTCAAAGTTTCTTGGCCTTGTATCATGGCCTTAACGAAAATCAGCGGTTAAACAATTGACATTTAAATGTAAATAAAACAAGGAAAGTTTCCAAGGAATGTTTCCGGTAGCTTAAAAGAAACTTTCAAAATGAAAATAAATTCCCAATTGGAAACTTTCCAAAACGGAAAGTTTCCTTAAAATGGAAACTTTCCGATTCCCATCTCTAGTAATTTACTCTCATCTGATTTTTTCATTCACACATACATGGTGTCCCAGAACTCGCGCCACAGAGAAAAACGAAACGTGACAAAAGTTATGCGAAACACATAGGTACTTGAAAATTAAAATTATCTAACGCAAAGGATAAGCGAGATAAGAAAACGATAGCCAATCCCCAATACATGGCCATAGGAAATTCTTTAAATTACTAGGATACATTGTTGATATTAAAATAATATTTAACATATTATGTTAAATAAAAACTTAAAAATACATAACATAGAATCTCTAATAAGGATTAACAGCGTAAAACTAATTTATGGAATTAAACATAATCTTATCTGTGGTAATATAAACCTAGTCACAAGTCTAGTCAGGAGTTGTGATATTCATAAGTATAATGCATACAGGGTGTTATGTAATTAATGTTATATATTAAAATGGGTTGTTCCTTAGGGTCCATAAAGAAGCACCTGAAACTTTTTTTTTCTAAATTCCAAAGTCTAAAAATAATTTATAATAACCTTTATCCTACCAAAAAGTACGCCACTGATCGACTAGGAACTTTAGGTTAATCTGGTGGATTTATTATGTTATGGTTGGTAACAACTGTTTCCAAAATCTTTCAAAAAAGTTGCCAAGCATTGTTTAAATTTAGCTTAATTACAAAAACGACAAAATTAACAATGCAAATTGTCAATTTGGCGTTTTTATTAATTGTTGGTTATTTCATTTTTGTACTGAAGGTAAATTCAAACAAAATCTGCCAACTTTTATGACAGAATCTAGTGCATTTCTTTTAAATTTTAGGTTATGTTTTCAAATTGTAAATATCTTAACTAAGGGAAGTGCTTTTGGATTTATTTACACAAATTAAATGTTTAAAGTTTAACCTGTGAACTGGTCCCAATTTCATCTGAGTAAACAGAGAAAAAAACTGATGAAAAAATTAATTTTGTGGTTATGGATTTCAAATTTCAAAGGTACTAAATTTTCTAATCATTGCTTAAGCTAATAGCTGGATCAGTAAATAAATACAGAAGGGTATTAGAGCTTTAAGGGCATAAAACTTTTGTATTTATTGAGTTTTTATTTATTTTTTGCAAGAAAAATTTTTAGTAACAATTTTTTACATCTGGCAACGCATAGCTACTTTGTTGGTTGGTATCTATTAGAGGTGGAGAACTATCGATGGCAACTATCGGACTATCGATAGTCAGAGGAATTTGAACGATAGTCACCGAAAATCGCCCGCTAAAAATTCATCGCCTTAGAGTTTCTAATTTTAATATATCATATTAAATATAATTAAAAATAAAAAATATTAAAAAAATAAGTAGAAAGTCACTAAATTTTAATTAAGAAAGCAACCTTTTTTACCGACTACATGACATTTGCTGTGCGAAATAGTTATCTATATAATTTAAAGTCCGTTTGTGCGAGCATAACACAGAGGTTTTCTATGGGCATATATGCGTGCAAGGGGTTCCCAAAAGTGTTCGTGATACTCGACCTGTGATTTATTTTTGTTTATTATTCCCCCAATATTAAATTTAAAACTATCGATAGTACTATCGATATAATCGATGGTGTTAGAATCGCACTATCGATTAATCGTAACCCAGCACTATCGATAGTTCTCCACCTCTAGTATCTATGTACTCACAAAATACAGGTGTGCAGAGATAAACAAGTGTGTAACCAGTGGCGTATCACAAAAAATATAAAAAACTTCTAATGCATATTTTTTCTTTATCTTTGGAAAAATGTTTTTTTAAATATTTTTCCTTTATTCCTTATGTCAAAAGGTATTCAGTATTTTAATATATAACATTAATAAAACACCCTGTATAATGCTGTAATACCACAAATGTTACACAAAAACGAATAACATATAAAGCACTAAAACGGTTTAATGAATTACCTGGTGAAATATAGGAACTGACCCACTTAGATAAATTTACAAAGGTTGTGAAGCAATATTATATAGACTTTAAAATGTGATATTTAAATGTGATATCCATTAAATTATATCATATTTATCCACTTTATATTTATATGTATTGTTATTTGTAATATTTGCTTATGTAATGTATTCCTGTGATGAATTTGTGTAATCTTTTTGAGAAATAAATAAATGAAAAATAAATTAAAAATATTCGGTCGACTGAAGTCCACTTCATTGTGAAACTACTGTCAATTTTTGTTCCTGTCATTATTTATCATTTTAAGTTGTTTTCCTCCTCTGATTATGCCGAAATGATGATTATAATAATCAGATTATTTAAATTTCAGTAGGCATTTTTAGAATTTTACGTAGAATTTTAAAATGCAATAATATTTATTTGGTTCCATTTGAAAAACCAAAGTTTGCGCAAGTTAACGCATTGAGTAATTAAAAAAAATAGTTTACATTGGCTTATAATTGAAATACAAATTTCCAATCAATATCATTTTCCGTTCTCCACTTGTAATGAATATGTTGTATCACCATGTTTATTAAAAATTAAAAACAGAGTTACTCACAAAAACAGGCTGAACTGACTGCTCCACTCTCAGCTTGATATAACTCGCAGTATTCATGACTCCCTCGGCCCACACTTTGATCATAGTAACGCCAGGCTTGACAGTGCTGATCTGCACCGAGCTCACTTCGGGTCCTTCAGCGATGCGAATCAGATCGCATCTGCTGCTGCGCACTTTAAGATCCAGCGGCCCGGTCACGAATTTGTTGCCGATGGAATCGTGAAACGTGGCTTTTAGGGTGAACACCGTTCCGAGGGGGATGTAGCTCAGGGGGGTGTTGGAGTGTACGCGCCAGTTCGCGCGAACTTTTAGGGTCATATATTGGATTGGTTTTACCTGGAAAATAAATAAATAAATGTTAGCTTTTCAACTATCATTTACATTCTAAAATATAAACAATTATTCCCCAACACCAAAACAAAACTGTTACAGTTACACTTCGCTTCTGAAGATGCCAACATCGTTGGCGAAAAGTACTTTAAGCACTTTGTGTTGAGTCAAGCCACGTCAAGTGGGACCAGAAAATTTCACGAAATCACCGATTTTGAAAATAATCACATAATTGTGAAGTAGGCATGACGCATATGTCACAGTAAAAAAATTGTTTTGAAATTCGGTTTTTTGTTAATGTTATTAAAGTTAATAATTTTGTAAAACTTAAGAGCACGGTAAAATTGAAAAAATAGAATCTCTGGGACCTCTCTGTATAATTGAATTAAATTTTAAACACTATTGTAGCAATGTTTAGACTATAGAATGATCATTTAATTAAGGAAAATTTGTTTAAATAAAAGAGTTTTGCATACATTTTTAATAAACAATTGAAATTTTTTATGTGTTCTTCACGCTGAAAAAAAATTAATGTTGTGTCATAATATGCGGCAAACGTTTCTGTTTTATAAGATGTACTCAAAAATTTGTCCTTCATATGCCGTTCCGGAGATATTAAATTTTTTGTCCCGCCGCGGGACCCTTTGGTGACTTAAAAATGATATTTACCATAATCCTAGCTGCTCCCCTTTTCGAAATTTTTTGAAAATTCATGATTTTTGTTGAAATTTTTGTTTATCTCAAAGTCTACCTTTGACAAAGTACACATTTGTATACCGATTTTTATAAAATTGGAGTATATTATTGAGGAAACTTAGAGATTACTTTTTAATACTGTTCCCATCATTTGATATATTTAGGGTTAGCCAAAAATCACTTATTTTTAATAAAGCAAAAGCGTAAATTCGTGGTTTTGGCATAACACGCAAAAAAGATTTATCCCCAATTTTTTTTAGATATTTCTACGTTTATCAGGTTACAAAATGGCATTCTATTAACCTTTTACAATAAAAATAGATTTTTAATAAAATTAAATAAAATTACGTTTAGAGAATATTTAAAATGTTGTTTAATTTAGGCTTTTTAGTAGTTTTTAATTTTGAACAAAAAACTGGTTGAAGTTTTTTGATCGGCACTTTTTGGTGATTTAATAGCTATTTACATATCATGGGAGGAAAATAGTGCTTTTCCTCCCGCGAATAGTTTGATGCCCGACGCGAAGCGAAGGGCATTAAATATTCAAGGGAGGAAACGCATTTTCCTCCTGAGGTATGTAAGGTAAAACCAGGTAACATTGACACATCTTTAGAAAAAAATTTTTTTATGCTTATTTTCGTCACTAAAAATTTACAAATCTGACTTCGGCAAATCAGTATGTTGTGCATACATATTAAGTAGTAGTTTGAATATTGACTTTCAGTTTTCAGTGTTATTATATATATTTTTTAATTCTGAAAGTGTCAATGTTACCATCTAGTCGACTAACATTGACACCCCGTATAAACTGTGTTATAAATGAATGTTTGCGAAGTGTAGTGTATCATGATATTTACACAGAATTTTCGAAATTTTTTATTTTTTATTTCAACAAAATACAAAATATTTATAGTGAATATTGCAAATAATAACTAGCCAAGTTTATTTGCCGCGTAAACACCAGATTTCGTCAGCTGTAAAATAAGTTTATCGTAAAAAATCCATCATGTCATTCAGTCAACCTTTAGATTCTTACCACTAGATGGTGGGACACATATTTCAATTTTAGAAACAGACATAACTACATTTTATTTCAAAACACAAGAACTGGGCGCGTTATTTAAAAATTTGTCAATGTTAACACCATGTCAATCTTACCCGGTCTTACCTTATATAGTTTTTTCTATTACCTTTTAACAGTTTTAAGACATTTTAAGCGTTCCGGTTCCTTTTACTAACCCGGTATAGGGCTATAAAATTATGACAAAATATTAAGTAGGTGTTGCGTCGCCGACGTTATGTTGACAACGCTTTGTTGCTGGGGTATTTTTGGTAATAACAACATAACAGTTTTTATAAGCTGTCAGAATGTTTATAAATTTGAAATTCTTCCTATGTTTAAAAAATGAGTTCTAGCGAAAAAGACCTGCCGCAAGATCTTGCTAAACAGGCAAGAATAGTTGCAATTAATTTCCTTCCTTAAAAATCGAAAGAGCGATATGAAAATGAATACATATTGTTATTGGGTCAATTCTCATATAACTTGTTCCGATGCTGTATCCACTTATTTTTGTGAAAACTAATTCTCGCTCAAGGTTTTTTTTAGTGTAATAAGCATGTAGCATTTCAAGGTAATGGGAACTTAAATTATGACAACCCTAATCTATTAATTTTTTCCTAAAATGCAGGCTTTATGTTGCAAATGTCACATAAGTTACCGGTCACCAACTGCAATATCCTAACATCGATGAATATTTCAACAAAATGACCGTTCAAACAACTAATGTTAGTGCTTGATTAACTAAAAATAGACTTAAGATTGACAAAAAATTATTTTATCCGAAATCGGCAGTAAAGTAGTCAACAATCGTAAATTAAAATAAATCGGCAGTAAAGTTCTACTTTACTGCCGATTTCGGATAAAAGAATTTTTCGTCAATCTTAATTAAGTCTATATTGAGTTAATCAAGCACTAACATTAGTTGTTTCAACAGCCATTTTGTTAAAATATTCATCAATGTTAGGATATTGCAGTTGGTGACCGGTAACTTATGTGACATTTGCAACATAAAGCCTGCATTTTAGGAAAAAATTAATAGATTAGGGTTGTCATAATTTAAGTTCCCATTACCTTAAAATGCTACTTGCTCATTACACTAAAAAAAACCTTGAGCGAGAATTAGTTTTCACAAAAATAAGTGGATACAGCATCGAAACAAGTTATATGAGAATTTACCATTGTGTTAAAAGAATGGTTGGACAAGCGCGGAGTAAATCTTTTTCCTACAAAATCAAATAGGACTAGACAAGGTACAAAAACTCTTGATAATGTAAAATTGTTAAAAAAAAAGAGGGAGGAATTTTTTTTTTCCTCTCGGGGAGGAAAAGTGGCATTTTCCTCCATCGCTCGGGGGTGGAAAATTAAGTTTTCTAGTAAGGTAGTAGAAAAAAACTATATTTACCAAAATTCTAACTCCTTTTTTTTAATTTGCAGAGTACACATTTGTACACCGATTTATATTGTTAACGAGACTTAGAGAATACTTTTTTTTTAAATTTGCAGAGTACACATTTGTACACCGATTTATATTGTTAACGAGACTTAGAAAATACTGTTTTTATACTGAGCACATCATTAGGTTAATACAGGGTTAGCCAAAAATCACGTTATTATATAGTAAAATGCATAATACACAAAAAAGATTTTTCTTCAAAAATTTCAAAAAAAATCATGAATTTTCAATAAATTTCGAAAAGAGTAGCAGCAAGGATTTTGGTAAATATCATTTTAAGTCACCAAAGGGTCCCGAACAAGAAACTGCAGTTAGTTTTTAGCGGCATTTTTATGTGACTTAAACCTCGTTTAGGCACACCGCATGGTGACGAGCTAGAAGCGAAGCGCGCTGCGTACTGATCAAGCGCACAGCGGGACAAAAAAATTAATATCTCCGGAATGACATATGAAGGACAAGTTTTTGAGTACATTTTATTAAACGGGAACGTTTGCGGCATATTATGACACAAGTTTAATTTTTTTTCAGCGTGAAGAACACATACAAAATTTCAATTGTTTATAATAAATGTATGCAAAATTGTTTTATTTAAACAAATTTACTATAATTAAATGATCATTCTATAGTATAAACATTGCTACAATAGTGTGTAAAATTCAATTCAATTATACAGAGTGGTCCCAGAGATTCTATTTTTTCAATTTTACCGTGCTCTAAAGTTTGAGAAAAATTGTTAACCTTAATAACATTAACAAAAAAAAACGAATTTTAAAATAATTTTTTTACCGTGACATATGAGTCATGTCTACTACACAATAATGTGATTATTTTCAAAATCGGTGATTTCGTGAAATTTTCTGGTCCCACTTGACGTGGCTTGACTCTGTTTTGTTTTGGTGTTGGGGAATATTTCTAAATTTGTTTAAAATATCACCAAACTTGTCCTTTTTCAAGTATTCCAAAATATGAAAAACAGGTGCGATTTGGCGTCTATTTTTCCAAACACTCATATATCTAGCAATCTAGCAATTAACCAAAAATAATTCCTTATGTGGTAGTATAATATACTTAAGTATGTTTTTAACAATCTAAAATATGCTCAAACTTTTGAACAATGTGGTTTTGGGTTCTTAAATTATTATTGTTTAATAAATCATGTTTTGTGTACCATGCTTCACAACAAACGGCTCCACCTTTACATTTGAATGGAAATATATGAGGTGTCAGTTAAACGCTAACAATATATGTATTTTTTTGTTCTAAATTAAGACCTTTATACACAAAATATAAATATATTCTATTATTTTTAGAAAATAAAACTAAATTTGCTATAAACTGTCAGATAGATAACCTCCATTATTTGTATTCAAATGTCAAAGTGTGAATTTTTGATGAGCGTAGTACAATAACCATAACCAAAATGTGTAAGAAAGATTTTTTAAACAAAGAAATGCGTTCCTTTAAAAAACAAATATTAACAAAACACAAATTAAGATATTATTTTACTTACATCAACAATAACGCTGATTTTCTGCTTTAAACCCAACTCATCAGTACCAACAACTATCAACATGGTGTGTCCTAAAGATTCATATGATTTTAACAGACCTTTCTCAGAAACTGTTACAATTCTTCCATCATTAGATTTGACAGAGGCGTCCGCCAAAAGTTCTGTAGATGGCGCTCCAGTACCAGGCAACCTAAAAAAGAAAATATCAATTGTCTGCCTAAACTTAAATCCACGTATGTTCCTACTGTTTGGTCTAAGTAAAATGCAATGTTTAAATCAAGTAGACTAAATACAGTAACTTGCTAGCACGCCAAAAAACGTAGGTACGTACGTCAGTAGTAAACTACGAATGCGCAAAATTCTCGTGCGCCTACTCTGCATTGGATGACAGCTATGCCTATATGTAGTTTACTCTGCGCACGCTATTTGGCGTAACATATTATGCCTTGTAGTCGAGTTACTCCTTTATTTAGTCCTCTTGGTTTAAGTATAAAATTGATATTCTTACGTGTATTCTATGACAGTAGAGGTGCCATCAAGGTTAGTTTGAAGGGGTATTTCAGAGAAGGGCGCCATAATAAGTGCGTCTCCCATCAAATATTTAGGTCTTGTAAATTTAAACGGTAAAATGACTTCGATATCGATTGAGGTGGAGAAGGTTACACTGTCCAGCTTTGGTTTCCCGGCAATGGCGCCGGCTACGGTAACGTTAAGGTGCAACAAAGTTTTACCGGGTTCCAAACCGTATATACTCGACACCACTTTGTCAATGTTTTTATAGTCAAAGCCTGAAATGGTATAGTATTTTATTAGAAGCCCAGAAAATATGTTTTTCCTGTGTGGGCATGAGTTTGGGAAAAACTGGACTGTTAAAGATATTGATTTCTTTGAAACATTTATTCCAAAAACATCAAAACACATTTTTCTAACTTACCAAACAATTTGCTAACAGTATTAAAATCGGCAATTTGACTGTGTCTGACTTCCCACTTGTAAATAATAGGCGGATTATCTATGGTCCCCAAAATTAACGGAGAAATATCCCCAGGTGTGCCAAAACACCACACGGGAACGAAAACACCCTGTTGAAACCTTGTTATGGGTATTTTAATCTTGATATCTTGCAACGGTATAACGTACATATCTACAGTGTCCTACAAAAAACACACTAGTTAGTAGACAAAATGAAACTTTTTGTTTGCCGCAGGGGAGCCAAATACTTTTCTAGGGTAATTTAAGTGTTAATTCGTATATATATATATTTTTTTTTTAATCAAATACTTTAACCAATGGTCATTGGTCATGTAGCTATGAAACCTAATTTAACGAAAAAACAATAAGTTATATAAAATAACGATTTTTAACGAAATAAAATCGTTTTGGCAAAAATTTGACAGTTCAAAGTGCTTTTAATGTATTTTACAAAATTGTTCAAATGGACAAAATGACACGCGAATCAAAATTTATATTTAAGATGTAAATAAATTTAAAAAGTAAAGTTTTTCTCACAATTTTTAAAAACTAATACACCAAAATGTAGGAATTTGAAGTCCAACTCGACCCCTCTTAAAAATTGTAGGGGTAGCCATCACCCCCGCTTAGGGGTTGATCTGGGGTTAACACTATAAAAATAAATTGTCCCCCTAAAATTAAAAATAAATTTGTGCGAGCGTTTTTTATTTTTTTACGTAACACCTTAGAAAAACGGTGTAAAAACTTTCCCTTGGCCCACCCTGTATGTATGACTCATTTTAATTAGGTACTTTTAAATTTTCATTACTCCCTTAAAGGGACATGTCAGATGACAAATCAACTTGAAGGAAGTTAACTGTAATACAAAAACTAACTTGACCTAAGCATAAGAAAACTGAGATAGAGAATAAGTGCATTTTTGTTATAAGAACCTACCAGAGTTCATGTGTCATGAACACTGTTGATGAGTGTTACTATTGTTCGTACAAGCGAAAATAACCGTAAATATAAATTTTGACAGGCGCGGTTGTTTTGAGTGCAATTTTGGCAAATTTAATTTGATTGCTTTACAATTTGAACACAATAAAGTAGATAAATAAAGGTAGACAATTTTGCAAACTTAATTAAAATCGGACAAAAAATTTTTGCAAACAGCACGTTGAAATTGTCGTATTTTTGCTAAAAAGCGATTTTATTTCGTTAGAAATAGGGTTTTTTAAGGGAATAACTTAATGAATGTGTATAATTTATTTTTTTCAGTTAAAGTTTTAAAAAATATATATACGAATTTGAAGGCATATAGAAGAAAAAAAAAGATTTTTTACAATATCTCTAAAACAAAGGCTAATTGAGCAAAATGATGGTTATTTTTGGCGTTTCCAAGTTACCCTGGGAAAGTTCTGTGGGTAAAAGGCATAAGGGGATAAGTCAAAACAATCAATTTTTTAGTAGTGCCTTAAACGTGTTCGCATTAATTTAGGAAATACATTTATGGTAAGCGGGTATATCCTTTTGCCAGCACATGTCATATGCTAGCAAAAGGGTATGCTCGCTAACCATAAATATATTTCCTGAATTAATAAGTCTCTACCGAAAAATTGCTTTTTTTGACTTATCCCCTTATGCCTTTTACCCACAGAGTTGTTGGGCACCCTGTGGCAAAATGACTGTTGACCAGTGTAATTTGCTTTATTCCTTTATCAAACTATGTTTTTCACAAAATGTTTTAAACTCATGTACCGTAAACACGGGTGGCTTTAGCTCACTTAAGCTTAAAAAGTTTGAATACCAGAATTGTTTCAGGGACTGGAAAAAGCTCTGGTACAAAGGATTTTTTTAAAGGGGATATCAAAAAACCCATTCCCATTAATTTAATTAATGCTGAATGTTTTTAAAAATTTTACATACCTCAGAATAAATGATTTTTTGGCCTGTTGATGGATGCATTCCAACGGCTCTTGCATTAACTTTAGCCATACCCATGTTTAAGCCAAACACCACACCTTTATTGTTTATTTCCAATACTAAAACGAAAAAATTGAAGGGGCAAGTGAAGGAAGGGGTTAAGTAACCTTTTTAATAATCTAATTAATAATCTATATTATTAAAAATGTTACTTAACCACTTTACTTATGAATTATAAATAGTACAAAAATAAGTTAGTAAATATTAAGGAGGTAATTCTAGTTGCCAGCAGTTCATATAACATTTTTCCGAAAACTTTTTTTCTGTGCGGATTTACTTCAAATTTGGCACACTTGCCACTAGGGTTGCCAGAAATCAAAATGCTGTAAATAGAAGAATTAACTAGAAAATATAGAAGTATAAAAAGACATATAGAAGATTTAAACAAACCACTAGAAGTTATACAAATACAAAAGTATATAGAAAATTTAAACAAATAATTTATTGCATTATGTATAATTGCTAATTAATTTAAAATAAATACACATTAAACATATTTTGATAAATTTAAATAAAAAAAAGACTAAAATAGTATTAATTAAACATTATATTTTAAATCCAACTTAATAAATACAATAATATAAACTAAACATTGAAACTATATACTTTTTTATTCTAAAACGCTGAAAAATAGAAGATTTTGCTTTTATATTTTAGGAGCATAGAAGATAGAAGATTCTATTAAATATAGCCTGGCAACACTATGTACCACTGTTGTTCCTCTGCATCCTTGCTCCAAATTAGACATGAATCCTTTAATGGCAAAGGGCCTAAAGTGCCCTTGACCTTAAAAAAGACCCATATCTTTTTTAAATATTGTTTTTTAAATTTTAAACACGTACAATTAAAGAACATATGAAAATATTCAAGTAAGCTCCTCTTGTTCTATCACAATAAAATTAACTGTTTCCAAGAAAAACCGTTTTAAAGATTTATATAATTTTGAAAAAATGTTATAGCAACTTAATAATTTTTTCAAGTAGAATCACCCCCTTAATTTTTTTCGCACAATTTCTGGACACCCCGTATAGAATTAAATAGGTACCTATTATACCTATAATAGGTATACAATTCTTAAAACAAATGAAAACTTTATTTACAAATTTATGTTATGTTTCTTTAATCTAAAGTCCTTTTTGTTTTAGAATATTGCAGGAAAAAAAATAAAAAACTATGGCTATTTTATTATTTAGAAAATAAGAAAAAAAGTCTTAATAAACTCGGTTACAAACAAAAAATGTGTATTTGTCGAATGTTTAAGTTTTCTAAAAATTTAAATATTTGAATAGAAAGGCCTTTATACTAAAGATTGGAGGCACTGGAAATAATTTAAAATAATTTTTAAAGTTCATGTACTATGTTTTACTTGCCTGGTACTTTAGCTTTAGGCGGTTGAATAACAACAAACTCAATGTTGGCATCAGGTTGAGGTCCTCCTTTGGCCACATACTGCAGATGTGATTTTATCAAAATCGTACCGTTTCTAGGATGAATTCTTAGAGGATTGAATATTTGCAAATCTACGGGGGCGCTTTCAATATCTTCATCGCCAGTAGCAACTTGAAAAGTAAGTTTTGTATCTCCCACTTCGACCCCTGAGATTGTGTAGTGGATTTCACCTTGTCCCCAAGGTTCTTTGGGGTCCTCCTCATCCTGTTGTATATTTGCGATTTTGTTTTCAAATATTGGTTTTACTCCAATCATATTTCTGTCGGGGATTTCCATAAGGTTATCGTTTTCATCGTACAATCTTACAACACATTTGATGCATTTTCCTATTTCCACTTTGTCTATCATTTCTACCCTGATCAAACCAACAGCTACTACAGTAACATATAAAGTAGCAGGTCTGGATACAAGACATAAATCTTTTAATTGCACAGTTAATTCTCCAGATCTTTTCGGCATTATTTCAATCTCTTTGGAAGACTCGCAATATTTAACATTTGCTACGTCTTCAGTACTCAAAGCCAGCTCAAAGAAACTTGAACCTTGTTTTACGGGCAACTTCCTTCTATTTCCTACAATTTAAAATGTTTTTATGTAATTTAAAACATTCCTCGTAGTATTAAATACATGGCGCAGTCGCTAGGATTTTCTTTATTTGTACTCACCAGGATGGTTGTAGAGGGTAATACTCGATGGTTCGATGTAAGCTTCGTCCACGAGATAAAGGGAGAGCGATGAGGTTACCAGTACAGTGTCATCTTTGTCTGTATCGTCTTTGAATGGCGGATTCTCGGGCTTGATGCGCATATTGGATAGGATTTTGTTGTTGTAACGGTCCAACGTGCAGTTTATCAGTAGTTGTTTAAAGTCGCCGGTCGTGGTTAGGGTTTGGTAGGCATTATCTGCTACTTCGATTGTGCCTGTGTATAAAATAAAACATTTTATATTTTTGTGTTTAAATTTTAAAACTATTTTCAAATTATGAAATTAAAGGAATTTAAACGTTATTTTGTAAAAAAAATCGAAAGAAATTAATTAACAATAAAATAAATAATAAAATCTATAAAACTGCTCAAATTCGAACAAAATTGGATAATTGAAAACTGCCCTTATAACTACATAAATAAAAAAAATGGTAGGACACACAGTAGTTTAAAATTGTAAGAAAAATTCACACAGGAGCATAAATTTAAAAAATGTGGGGAAAATTCACACTTGATAAATTTATAAAATAGTTCTCACATTGGCATGAATTTCAAAAATGTTAGGACGAATTCGCACAGAAGCTTAATATATTATATTTTAAAAAATGGTAGGATAAAGTGTCTTTACTCCCTTCCAAATAATATAAAAAATTTAATTAATTTAAAAAACAATTAAGAATTTTTAATAGGTACATTGGAGGGTCCTATAAATGAAATAATTAATCACAACTAAACAACATTTTAGATCCTTTTATAATGACAACAAAATTGATAAATTATACACTACTGTTATTTGTTTTTATTGCTTTTTTATTATTTTTATTTAAACTTATAAATTGTTATTGTTTTACATGGTACTTGTATCAGTAATTACTGCCTTTCGGTCCTTTTTGCAGAAATGTGCAATTATGTTTTATTGTAAATCATTGATGTATATTTTTACAGTTACTGCAAATAAATTATTATTATTATTATTGTATACCAAATATTTTGCTATTAATTAATTACATATATACTAAATTTGTATTTATATTTTTTTAATATTAATTTTCCCCAGAGAAGTTTTTTACTAAAAGAGCTATTTTGTATTTATTTTTCAAATTTTCTTTTATGTTAAATTTATTGTAAATTAGTAAATTGTTCAACAATTGAGAAAGTAGAAAAATAGATCAATTTTCTTCAAATTTTAAGACCGAGCCAATTTCTCAATTGAAAATGTAAAAGAAATATACAAATTATTAAATAAGATTGGAAAAAAATTTGTAAATTATTATTATTATTATTCAATTCGGACAATAGCATATATTTAAAAAATAGCAAGACAAATTCGCAACATTCATATATTGTATATCTTTTTTCAAACATTTTATAGTTTTTCCTACTTTCCTAAATTATGTGCATGCAGGACAATTTATTTTAGTTACGTTTAGGGTATACTTAGCGAATATTGTTGGTCTCTTATATGCAAAACAAACCCAACAACTTTTTTCGGAATTCAGATATACCTCCGAAAATTGCTTAACATGTCTTGACATCATTAATCTTAAAATTGATCTGTAATTGTACATACATAATTGTTGCATCATTACATTAAAAAAAAAAAGTAAATTATATTATTTTTTAAACACATGTGAAGAATTATAATATTATATTCTGTAAGTTTGGAATAAGGCATATTCCGCTCGAGTAAAAAGTTTGTCACACGAGCCGAAGGCGAGTTTGACGGTTTCACGAGAGGGGAATATGCAATCCAAACGTGTTTCAGACTATACTTTTTCTACGTTTCCAAAAAATACCATAGACAAATAATTTAATTGGAAGAAAGTGAGGTTGGATCGGTCTAAAATTTGTTAGATATTAAAAACAGAGATGTCGCCACGAGTGTTTATTCTGTCATCAGATGATAGAATATTTCATTCTGTAACACTTTACGGAATATATGTCATTCCATAGATAAAAGTGGTATTAGAACAGTCAAATTCCATAAAAGGAGTAGAAAAATTATATTCTATGCAAAATAGAAAAAAATAAGTACAAAAAAAATTAAAACTGAAATTAAACTCCTATTAAAAAACATGCTACTTACCCTCTGTAATATTTTGCGGAAAAGTTCCATCTTTACTGGCAAACTTTCCCGACTTAGGCGGCGTCAGAGTCCATACAAACACCAAACTGCTTATATTCAGAAACCTCTTCCCGCAATCGTCAAACACAGACACCCCAATATCCAGGCTCCTTAAATTCGGTATGGCCACGTTGCCAGCACTAGTATCCATCGGACAATCATCGGCAACGTCGAAGTTCGGCTGAAGCTGTATTTTGCGCGGCTTGCCGCAGGTGATCCTGGTGGTGACGCTGGCCGAGCGCGATTTGCAGTGCTGCGCAGATGGTTTGTTCGACACGATCAGGCGGATGTCGGTTTCGCCAAGCTGGCGGCATACGACTTTCACGACCGTTAGATCTTCGCCGGGTGGGGAGGCGGGGTCGGTTAGGTCGCGTGCGGAGGCCACGTTCTCGTTTTCGGACACTACGATGCGTTCGTGCTCGCTCTGGCGGCCTAAAAATAATAAATTAATCATACTCAAAAATAAAATACAAAAAAATTTATAAACTACAAAATTCCTTAAATGCAAAAAACCGTTTACCGTTTACCTATATAAAACATTTTTATAAAAGTAATTCTATAGGATGTATATTCTATGCATACATATATATATAGTTATTTCCAGTTGTATGTCAAGGGTGGATTACATAAAACCTTGTAGAAGCATAAACTCAAATTTTTCGGTTTTTTAACAACTTGTTGCGTAATTTATGTTAGAATTATCAAATAATTCTTTATTTTTTGTTTTATTTAATTTTTTCTCATTTTTAAAAATATGTACTTCAAAACCCTAATTTTTATAAAATTTTTGACAACGGAATTTAAAAAATTAAAATGATATATAAATTGAAAAAATACTAAAAGAATATTGTAATTCCAGAAAAAACGAAAAACCAATATAAATAGTTAATTTTGTTTTATTTTTGTAAAAATAATGCAATTTATGTATTTTTTGTCTCGAGTCGCCAGACGAAACTCGAATCATCCGAGTAAATAATTAGCATAATCTAGAGTAATTATCTACTCCAATAAGTAGATAATTAAATGATTTTCAAAATTAGAAAAATAAAATCCAATCTGTCAAATGGTTAACCTCACTTTTTACCAATTTGAAAAGCTGTGACTAGAGGCACGCTAACGTGCCGCGATTCGAAATGTTAAAGGCACGTTAGTTACGTCATAATTTTAAGATTGTACGTTACGATAAAACTAAAACAAACCAACCAACCCAACCAACACTTTTTAACAAAGGAACAACAAATTTATGAAATAAAAAAATAAAAAAAGTTCTACAACTTCTAGTAGATTTTATGTTACGATAAAACTAAAACAAACCAACCTAAACAACCAACCCAACCCAACACTTTTTAACAAAGAAACAACAAATTTATGAAATAAAAAAACTTCGACAACTTCTGAGTATCGAACCCGGTACCTCTCGCATGCTAAGCGACCGTCCTACCATATGAGCTATCTAGCTTGACATCAATTTTAAAACGCTAGGGAAACAAAAACGGATTATTATTATTATTATGACGTAACTAACGTGCCTTTAACATTTCGAATCGCGGCACGTTAGCGTGCCTCTAGTCACAGCGAATTTTAAACGTTATTATAGTCGCTTTCTTCCAGTTTAAAACCCGATTGGTTCAAATCAAAGTGAATATTGAAATTGGCCAATCACTGAACAACGTAAATAATGAGTTTATTATTCACGTTGTTAGGCAGGGAATTTATTTTTTATGTTTATCAAAATTCACAGAAAAAAAACAAAATTATGCAATAGGAGTAGGTAATGGTATTCTGTAACAAGTTTGGATTACGGCATATTCCGATCGAGTGAAAGTTTGACGTTATCACGAGAGCGGAATATGTAATTCCAAATGTGTTTCAGACTACACTTTTTCTACCTTTTTAAGAAATATACCATAGAGAAATTTAATTGAGAGAAAGTGAGGTTGGATCGGTCTAAAAGTTGTTAAATAATAAACAGAGATGACCACCAGTGTTTATTCCGCACATGCTTCTAGACATATACCGCTTATTAGCTATATTTTGTATAGATGACCTTATGCGCATATTTAAAATATATGATACCATAGACATAGTAATACGTCCACGTATGATACGAATTGTCAACTAAATAAAGTTATAATTAATTTTTCTACATCATTTGCTTACATTGCCTAGATTAAGCTTACATAAATTTCTTAGGTTTGGATTTATAAAAAGTAAAATGTGGCATAATATGCATATTATGTAAAAGCAACTAAAAAACTCGTAAACACAATGGAAAAAAACAATGCCAAAACAATTGGTATACAATAGAAAACAAACAAAATGATTAATTATAAAAACCATCTACATATTAGAATATCTTTGATAAAAACATTTGGGCTATTGTAGAAGAAATACGACGTTGCCAAATTCTTGCTGTTGTAAACATGCCATTATAAAATCTAAAATATTATCATTTTGTGTGTGATTTAATGTTAAATGTTTTTCATACAATTTATTAAAAAGTATTTAAAATTTTTCCTAAATATGGACAAAAATATGGTATTTTTTTAAAAACCGGCAATGACACCACGCATGCGCTTGAATGCCTGCTACCGTGTGATTCTCACTTTCCCCCTATTTTCATATTTCCTGTAAGAAAAAGACTATTCTAATGGGCGACTTTTAGGGGGCTGTATCTCCGAAAAAAGGGGCCAATTCGCAAAACTAAAAAATACGTGTCCCATAAATTTCTCTCGAGAATCTGTGACCAAATTTTGTTGCATTAATTTCGGGACCACATTCGTGGACCATTAGAAGTTTCTGGGGAACGGAAAAAGATATCGATTTGAAATTTTAAAAGCGTTTATAATCCATTTAAAACTATTTTTCTAAAATATTTTGAACAAAATTCCACTTCCGGTTTAACCGGAAGTGACATCAACTTTGTTATTTCAAATAGAACACCCCATATATTTTTTCATTTTTAAGTTCTACATAAAATTCTGAGTAAAATTACTATACCATGTCCTATACCTAAAGTGAATAGTTTTCAAGTTATTAATTTTTTTCGTTAAAATTTGACAAATGCTCGGCAATCAAAAATAGCCTATAACTTTTTTGTTATTAGGTTTGCGAATATGGGGGTGGAATTTTTGGAATCCTAAAACATTGTTTAAAAGATTACATGTTAATTCTTTAACATTTTTTAACAAATTACCTAAGAAAACCCAGGGCAAATTAGGCTAACTTGAAAGGTTAATAACTTTTTTATTTTAAATGTAACACCCGGTATGTTTTTACATAATCACATAGTAAATTAAAAAATCTTTCGATTGATGTTACTATTCCCTATACCTAAAGTTAATAATTTTAGAGATATTTAGCAATTTCTAAAATTTTATATATTATTTTGTATCAAGAAACCTGTGACGGGTGAGTTGACGGTATCTATGGTTACCACGTAATCTCTCATTGTTTAAAATTTAATGGCGTCAATTTATAGTTTTTTAAATAATTTGTTAACTAATTAAGTGTTTTGAAAGCGAAATTACTGATAAAAAAAAGAGCACTCACTGACTCATAAAAAACATTGACAAGCCAAACATTTTTAAAATTTAAAAGTAATAACCCAAAAAATCAACAAAACTGTAGGATGTCTTCTACATGAAGCACTAGCTTATTGAAGACATTAAAAAATTAAATGCCAACCTGATTTAATAATTATAAAATATTTTAATAATAAAAAAAATTTAATAAACCACAGACCTAGGTCTGTGTAATAAACCAACAATTAACAATTTTTATTACCAATAACCTATCTAATTTTTAATAAATGTTCAAAGTGTCCTCCATTTATATTCAAGCATTTTCTAATTCTCACTTCTACATTTGACGTTGCTTTTCCTAACTCTTCTGGGTCTAATTCTTGAAAAGCAGCCTGGACACGGTTTCGTAGTTCGTCTTTTGAACGCAGTGGAGTTGTGTTAGTGTACACTTTATTTTTTATAGTCCCCCATAAATAAAAATCCAAAGGCGACAGATCTGGAGATCTTGCAGGCCATGACCACGGACCCAAACGACGAAACCATTTGTCTTCAAACATTTGGTATAGCTCTCTACTTACAGCTTCAGTACAGTGAGCTGGTGCTCCGTCTAGCTGATACCAGCATTCTACAGCTTCATTTAACGGTAAATTGTCTACGAAATCATCAACTACTGTTCGTAATATTTCTAAATATTTTTGACTAGTCTAGTCAATGCCTCATCATAAATGTAATAAGCCAGGGTGTTGTCTTTTATTAATGCAAATACGTTAAAACTAAATTTTACTTGAAAATTCTGTTCTTTGGTTAAGTGTGGATTTTCATCACCCCAGAAGTGATTAGCTCTAGTATTGAAAATGCCTTCTCTGGAAAATTTGGCTTCATCAGTCCAAATTAATTTTTTCTTAAAATTTTCATCTTCTTGAATTTTTACCAAGAACATTTCACAGAATTCTACTCTCGCAGCGCCATCTTGAGGGTGCAGATGCTGCACTTTTGTAAATTTGTAATCATGCCATTTGTACTTCTTTAAAATACGATGCACCGACGAGACTGAAACACCCAGATTATCTTGAGCGCTTCGAATTGATGCTTGAGGATAAGCGCGGAAGTACGCCAAAACATTAATTTCTGTTTCTTCGTTACTGGTTATAGGATGAACTTTATTTCTTACGGCATTTTGTTTTCCACGTGCCTCAAAATTACCGTAAATTCGCCGAAATATTTTTGGTGTGATTGCACGCACATTTGAATATCTTGTGTTAAAAGTTCTGCAAGTTCTCGTTACAATTTTACTGCACTCTCCAAATATTGCAAAGAGGTTGAGAAGGTCAATATTTGTGTATTCTTGATTCATTTTTACAAAACACTTAATTAGTTAACAAATTATTTAAAAAACTATAAATTGACGCCATTATTTTAAATTTTAAACAATGAGAGATTACGTGGTAACCATAGATACCGTCAACTCACCCGTCACAGGTTTCTTGATACAAAATAATATTTAAAATTTTAGAAATTGCTAAATATCTCTAAAATTATTAACTTTAGGTATAGGGAATAGTAACATCAATCGAAAGATTTTTTAATTTACTATGTGATTATGTAAAAACATACCGGGTGTTACATTTAAAATAAAAAAGTTATTAACCTTTCAAGTTAGCCTAATTTGCCCTGGGTTTTCTTAGGTAATTTGTAAAAAAATGTTAAAGAATTAACATGTAATCTTTTAAACAATGTTTTAGGATTCCAAAAATTCCACCCCCAAATTCGCAAACCTAATAACAAAAAAGTTATAGGCTATTTTTGATTGCCGAGCATTTGTCAAATTTTAACGAAAAAAATTAATAACTCGAAAACTATTCACTTTAGGTATAGGACATGGTATAGTAATTTTACTCAGAATTTTATGTAGAACTTAAAAATGAAAAAATATATGGGGTGTTCTATTTGAAATAACAAAGTTGATGTCACTTCCGGTTAAACCGGAAGTGGAATTTTGTTCAAAATATTTTAAAAAAATAGTTTTAAATGGATTATAAACGCTTTTAAAATTTCAAATCGATATCTTTTTCCGTTCCCCAGAAACTTCTAATGGTCCACGAATGTGAAACACCCTGTATATATGCAGGGTGTCATTTAAATTGAAACTTTAAAATATCTGTTAGTATGCATTTTACGAAAAAAATGTTTAAAATAAAAATTAAATGATTCGACGGGGAAATCAATCAGTACTAAAATTGGTCCTCATACTCTCCTCCTTATAGGGGGAATAGGGGGTAACTTTAAAATTTCCAATGGAACACCCTATTTTTTATTGCAGATTCGGATCATTTGACTAAAAATAGGTAGATTTTGTCTAAAACATTTTTCCATATTTGTAATAGATGGCGCTGTAATGAAAAAAAATCAATTTTGTTCGATTTTTCTTCTAAAGCAGAAATGGTATTAAAATCGTAAAAAATAAATAAACATTTTTTAATATAAAAAAATACCATATAAAAACCTATATAGAAAAAAAATGTTTAAAAAATCCTAGAATCAAATAATCTAAAACACTTACCTATTATCGGTCTTGGTCCCCCAGTATAAATTAAATTAATCGACGTCCCCACCGCCAAAACTACATCCGACTTGGGCTGCAACAACTCCAGCGGCTTGTAAGCACTCACGCTCACCGAATCCTCCAAAGCCTTGCCATCTTGATAATAGGTAACCGTCACCTTACTGGTGCCCACATTCAAACCCACCATCGCGATGTTGCCGCACGCGATCCCAACAGGCGGCTGCACGTCGGTACGATTGTGCTCGAATTTGGCATCCGACTGTCTAATTTTAAAAGGCAACTCTTGGCACTGAGTATAGGGGATTTGAATCGCTTTGCCATATTGATCGATTTTTTCCGCGTAAAGAGCCACATGCAGGTACACTGGCGATCCTATTTCGGCCTCCATCACGAACTCCACTATCTCTAGTTTGGAGGGTGGGAGAATAATCACTTTGGCTGTTTCGCGGTTGTGGTGGTTACGCAACATGGCTGCTGATACTTCGAAGAAGCCGTTCGAGTGCGTTCGGACGTGTCCGGTTTGACTGACCACGCCCACTGAGTGGTCGCTGCTTGTCCAGATGAACCGACCGTCGCCGCCTTTGACTACCAAGTCGATGTCGTATCTAGGAGAAAGTTTTTTGTTAAATTGACAGGTTTTAAAAATAACATGCAAAATTTGCTTGCTTAACGCTGTTTTTTGATTAAAATATAACTCAAATAATAAATACAACTTTACAAAACACAAGAAAAAGATTCGAAAAAAGCTTATAGGTAGACTTAGGATAATTGAATTGCCGGAATGCACAACCGACGCAGCGCGGGGCCAGTAGGCTACTGCATGGAGACCGTTCAATTTCAACAAAATTCTTTAAATTAAACTCGCGATAACTCCTTAACTAAACGTGCGATTTTTATGAAATTTGGACAGAATACTTAGATTGGTACAGCGATGCTATTAAAATAAAAAATACAAAATTTTAACCACAATTAATTAATAAATGCATCAATATTATTTAAGTCATAACTATGCTTAAACTAGTAGATGTTTATAAATTATATACAAATATATATTTATATATGGTTTTTTTTCTTGGTAAAATAAAGAAGTTTTTCTCCGAATTTGACAATTATTAATAAATTATTATAGCCGTAATACTAATAAATAAGAGAGCCTGCGGCGTCGTAAAAAGCTTAATTGTAACAAATCATTTATTATCAGTAATTATTACTAAATGTGTTTATATTGCACACTGTTCACTGTACAATATAAAACAGGAATTTTATTTTGAAATAAAAGTATTACTTTATCTTTTAACTTTTAGCAACATTTGCTTCCCACAAATTATTATTCGTCGATGTTTTTCGTCCGAACAAATCGGACGAAAAAGATCGAAGAATAATAATTTGTGGAAACCAAATGTTGCTAAAAAGTTAAAAGATTTATTTATTTATTCTTTTACAAACACAATATAATATTAATTACAACATGTCGATACCCTAAACTTAATCCTACATAGCCTAATACTAAATAACATTACAATTAAAGAATATCTGGATATGCTTTACAGTGGTATTAAAAAGATCAATATAAAAGTTATCAATTAGATTATTGCACTGCACCAACATATAGTTAAGCTGCGAACAGTCTTTTTTATTAGTATAAAACAGTCTTTTATTAGTTATCCTTAAGTTAATCTTTGGTACTGAAAATTGAATATTATTAACAATATAGATCTTGTTTCAACAAAAAATATAAAGAAAACAGCTTGCATATTTCTTCTTTTGATGATTACAAAATTAAAATAATTTAACATATAGATTTCTTAGATATTTACATGTAACAAATTATAATGTATATAATGTATTTAATGTATATAATGTATGTATCTATTAGGGTGTCCCAAAAAAAAAAGAATAAATTTTTTTTTCTTGTCTCTTGTAAAAATCTGTTAGTTTATCATGCTGTGAGAGCCCTTTCAAAATATCAGCTCGATTAAAAATTTTGTAGGGGTCGCTCAAGATTTTTAAAAATTTTCAAAATGGTCAAAAATTGAATTTTTGTTTTATTTTAATTCTTTTTCTCGTCTCGATATTATTTTTTAGGTTGAAAATAATAAAAATTCTGTACATTTCAAATCAATATTTTGATTTCTAAAGGTCGCTAAAAGTTCGTTGATATTTATATTCAGAGGTCGCTCGAAAACATTCAAAATACTCTACGTTAAAAAAATCTTGAGCGACCTTTAGAAATTAAAATATCGATTTGAAATTTTCAGAATCATTATTATTTTTAAATTAAAAAATAATATCGGAAAGAGAAGAAAAATTAAAATAAAAAAAAATCCAATTTTTGACGATTTTGGTAATTTTTAAAAATCTTGAGCGACCCCTAAAAATTTTTTAATGGTGCTGATCTTTTGACAGGGCTCTTAAAACATGACAAACCAACATATTTTCACAAGAGACGAGAAGAAAAAAAATATTCTTTTTTTTTGGGACAACCTAGTATCTATAGATACATATGATACCAAAAACCGGTATAAATTATATTCCTTACATGTAAATATCTAAGAAATCTTTTTTGTACTTTTTGAATGACATTACTATTACTTTCTGCTGTAGGTGACCAGATAATACAAGCATATTCAAGATGAAGCCTCACTAGTAAGGGATGAAATATGTTTAAAATATTTGGCATTTCTAAGTACAAAACCAAGTACCCTAAATGCCTTATTTAGGTACTATTGTATTGTAGGTAGAGTTGAATTTCATATTTAATTGCAATTTTACACCCAGATCTTTACATTAATAAATTCTAATTAAGCTAATGTTTTTACATTTACGTGTGTGTTATAGTTGCACACTTTTCTACGTTAGGAAACATCTTATTTACTTGAAGCCATTCTGATACATAGTCTAGGTCTTTTTGTAACATTTCGTTATCTTTTTTGTTGTTAATCTGTTTATATATTTAAAAATCAAATCAAACAGTAGACAAGATGAATATTTAACACTTAGCGCTCAATTATTGATAAAAATAGCAAACAGTAGCGGCCCTAGGTAATCATTTTATTTCAAAATAAAATTCGTGTTTTATATTGTACAGTGTAAAGTGTTCAATGTAAACCCATTTAGTAATAATTAGTAATAATAAATGATTTGTTGCAAATTAAGCTTTTAACGTGATAAATCGAGTTTAGTTTCGATTCTTGTGCACTTTGTTGTCTTTACGCCGCCGCGGCGCGCCGCGGGCTCTTTTATTTATTTGTATTACGGCTATAATAATTTATCAATAATTGTCAAATTTGGAGAAAAACTTCTTTATTTTACCAAGAAAAAAAACGTATATATATAATTTATAAACATCTACTAGTTTAAGCATAGTTATGACTTAAATAATATTGATGCATTTATTAATTAATTGTGGTTAAAATTTTGTATTTTTTATTTTAATAGCATCGCTGTACCAATCTAAGTATTCTGTCCAAATTTCATAAAAATCGCACGTTTAGTTAAGGAGTTATCGCGAGTTTAATTTAAAGAATTTTGTTGAAATTGAACGGTCTCCATGCAGTAGCCTACTGGCCCCGCGCTGCGTCGGTTGTGCATTCCGGCAATTCAATTAAGGAAGTTCTAATTTTAGAATATTTAATGTCTAATATAGACAGGTTTAGTACATTTACAGTTTTAAATCGGTTTTTGGCCAGTCCTTATATTTTGGAAATTTAGGATATTTAACAGTTGTTAAAAAAAACTTTGAAGGGTCTAAGACATTTTTATTTTATTTTAATAACACACCTTCAGAACATTTAAGGCACTTTAGACAGTTTTATTTAACAGAAAGTGATTATATTAGAATTTTTTCCAAGGGTTATCCCCAATCGTCCAAACCCATTTTTTTAATTGAAATAAATTGTAAAAAACTTGTTAAAAAAATGGAAGTTTTTGAAAACACAAAAAAATCAATTACATTTAACTACGGTTTCGCGAAAGGATCGAACGGTGCAAGGGTTCAAGAAATCGATTGAAACTTTTTTACCTTATTTCTACATCTAAATGCAGTACTTTTTTCAACAAAAACAATCTCGACTATTGATAACTTTATTTTTTTCTTCACTGTGTTAAAAACAAAGAAATGTCATTATATTTAAAAACTTTTTTATTTCAAAACGTATCGATTAGAAATTTGGACAAAATGTAGATCTTACTAATGACAATTAATCTATGAAAAAAAATTGTTTAGATTTTGACGTACATGGTGATAATTAAATTTAAAATTTAACAATTTTTAAAGGGTAAATACCTAATCGAAGAAGCAACTTTGAATAGCAGTAGCAGTATTCATAAATGTTTAGTTTAGTACATTTTGTCATTTTTATTCTAGGGAATCGCGAAAGATATCGATTTAAAATTTTAATTGCGTAAATTATTCGATTTAGACTTTTTCAATAAATTATTTTGAACAAAATAATACTTCATGTTTTACCGGAAATGTCTTTGTTATTTTAAACAGGACACCTCATATATTTTTACATTTTTGAATTCTACATAAAATTCTGAGTATAATGGCTATACCATATCCTATACCTAAATTCAATATTTTTCGAGTTTTTTTAATCAAATATTTTAATTAATTTTTTCTACTCCCACCTTTAAAACGTCCTTTATCGTACATGTTTCCATGACACTAAGTGACCTTTTAAATACACATTGACAAGTTGTGGCTTTACGGCGCTTTAGTCACGGGCTGAAGTTGGCAACAAGTTTTTAGTCACGGACTGAAGTTAGTTTTAAGTTATGTTTAATTTTTAAAAAATAATGTATAGGTACTTCCTTGCTTGTGTGAAATTCTTTATTTGCGACTAGTTTCAGTTATACACCATCTTCAGGCAAACTACAAATAATGAGGTATTAAATAAATATTTAAAAAAATTTTTAAAGTTAGGTTATGTTATTTTGGTTAAAATATTTGTTAATTACGATTATTATAAATATAGTTAAAATGTAAAATTAGTATCTACTTACAATGTCAAGTTTTAAAATATGAGTTAAAATAATAATATAAATTACGAACATAGAAGTTTTAAAAACAATTTTTACACTTTATAAATAAATGTTTTTTGTGGTAGGTGTGAGATGTTGGTTGTGGTCTTACAGGTGTTTGAAAATAGGTTCAAAATATAATTCTACTTGTTCGTTTAGTAGGTTACATTTGTCTTTGTTTTTGTTTATTTCATAGGCTTCTAGAAGTGTTAGTTTTATTCCTTTTTCTTCTTGATGTAATATTTTTATATTTTTCCAGTCTTCAAATTTATGTCCGCTTGATTGTAGATGTCTTCCAAAGTTTGATGTTTTGGTATCTTTTATGTGTTCTTTAATTCTTGTTTTTATACTTCTTCCTGTTTCCCCAATATATTTTGCATCGCATTCTTCGCATGTTATGCAGTATACTCCGTTTTTATCGAGATAATGTGTATTGTCTTTAAAAATTTTTTTAAATATTTATTTAATACCTCATTATTTGTAGTTTGCCTGAAGATGGTGTATAACCGAAACTAGTCGCAAATAAAGAATTTCACACAAGCAAGGAAGTATACATTATTTTTTAAAAATTAAACATTCCATAAACCTTGCTAAAAATGGATTACCAAAACCTAATGAAATAGTTTTAAGTTAGTTGACAGTTGTCAAATGTCATACAATCGTTAAAATAAAGTGCCTTTCTTGTAAAATAATACTAAATGTGAAAATTATTTTATTATCTCAATACAAATACCTTTTAATTTCGCCGGCAGTAAACTATAACTTAAATTCGGGCACGGACTCTACTGTAAAGTCCTCATAAAACATTTCCTTTACTTTCACTGTGAAAAACTGTCAATTCTTAATATACATTTCGATTTATAACCTTTATAATTGTGTTTATAAAATATAAAAATGTGACATTTGACAGTTTCCCCTGTTGTTTCATAGATGGCGCTCTATACAAATTTTTGATTTAGATCATTTTAAGATAATAATAAGTATTTGTCGTAGAAAAAGTATAGTATGCACCTCGTTTATAAACTTTTCTATACACTCATTAACTAAAGCACTCGCTCGCAAGCTCGCTCGTGCCTAAATTAAATTCGTGTATTAAATGGCGTTTATCAAACTTGATACATAATATACTATTAAACAATGACAGATTAAGTGGTAACCTTGGATACTGTCGCATTAACCCACATGTAGAATTTCACAGGTTTGTTGATAAAAAATAGTACTGAAAATATTAGAAATTGTTAAATGTCTAAAATTTTAACTTTAGGAAACAGTTATTATAACACCAATTGAAAGATTTTTTAAATTTTCTATTTGGTTATGTTAAAACATACAGAGTTTTACATTTATAATAAAAACGTTATTATACGATTAATTCACTGGTTACTTTGGCACTGAAATGAACTTAATAATAAAAAAATTTTATCGGCTTCTTTTGAACCGATTTAAAAAACATAAAAACGCACTTATAAAGAATGTTTAGTTTAATACCTATACTCAGAACAGGTGTCTTGATCGAATTTATAAGAATTGCTAAATCGATTTTTGTTCCGCTAGATTGACCAAATGAATCACTGTGAGTAGTCGCGACGAATGTTTTAAATTGCGTCTTCAATGTCAAATGTCAAAAACCGATTTCTCGACATACGGTTAACCTAGCGGTTCCTTGGATTATATCCGTAAAAGAAAACAACAATAATTGTAATGTCTGTGCTTAGTTCAGAATTTGATGACGCAATTTGAAACATTCGCCGCGACAACTATACATATGTACAATATAATTACGTTTTTTAAATGTAAATATTTCAGAAACGGCAAAACCAAATATACATATTATATATTTTTGAATTTTGGGGAAAAAGATCTATTATTAATTGTGTTCCATTGAAGATTTGCCAAGTTTGTATTTTTTACTAATATTGCAAAATTCATTTGTTAATTTAGGTAACAGTTTCTGTCAATTTAGGACAAACACTACAAGTTTTGTATACAATTTTGCTACTAAATAAAATTCTCTACAAAAAAGGTCCTTATTAATTCGGTGGGACACCGACGGTGGCCGGAAGGCAAAACATGAACTTAATTTTTTTTCGAAATTAAGTTATTTACAGGAGTCAATAGGTAGTAAACCATATATCTTAATATCATTTAATAACGGAGATATTTTTAGCATTAACATGATAATTGAACAAAAATAATATATTTTGGAATGCCACACATTTTTAATAAATTAAATGTAAAGTTTTGAATTAGTGAGTTATGTTTTGCCTTCCTGAATTATTGCATACATATTGTGGTTTCAGAGATAATTTACAAAATTGCGATTTTATCTTAAAATTTATATTTTAATTTAATTGATTTTTATTTTTTTAAATACATAATTTTTACAATTTATTTAATTACAAAAAATTGGGTCAAAAATTTGGAACAATTTCAGGGACTGGGTCAAAAATTTTTGTCCCACTTGGAAGAAATTATAATATGGTCACTTTAGTAAGACTTCAAAGACATTAGGTTTAAAACTTTATTACTTACTTTGGTTTTGTTGTAGGATCCCATGGCAAAATAACTTCTGAGGGTGTAATAACAATCCTGGGATAGATAACAATTTCGGCATTGGCCACAATAGGCCTTTCAAACCTAAATCTTCCCAAGCTGGGATTGTCAATGCTCTCTAATCTGGCCTGAACATTAACCACTGCTGCTTTCATGCCATGACCAGAAATCCGTGTGCCGTTTTGTGATTTTTTCACCACAAAAAATTCTGGAGATATTTCAGTTAAAATTTCTATGTTATCTCCGCAAAATAGTTTGTTATGGTTCCTAAAAAATATTAAATAGTACCCAATTAAAAATTAAAATCCAATATTAAAAATAATTTACTTTGAATAAACTTCTATGGAAATATCATGTTGATCTCCCACTAAAATGGCCAAATTTTTGTGTGGCAATACATTTATAACCAAATAGTCAGGGTTGACAACATATAAAGTAGCAGCTGGTAGTTTTAAAGGAGGATCGTTTTGTCGAATGTTTCTATCCTGTATGACAATCCTAGTTTTGCCCTCTTTTAATGCTGTTATTTTGCTGGAAGCTTTTATTGAGCTTGCAATGGTTGTATCTTCAGATTCCATGTAATATTGAGCATCGGGAATTGCTATTTCTGTCATCACACCATTATTTAACTTAAAAAGGAATTGTGATAATACAAGATTTTTATTATAACCATATTAAATACTTACTGTAAATACTTTAAATGGAACTATATCACCAGGCATGGCATAAACTTCAGCAGGAGTAATTAATAAATTAGCCACAACCATTAGTTGAACCTCACATGGTGGAATTTCTTTATATTCTTCATGTGGTAGTTTTGCTATAATCTAAACAAAAATCACTTAACAAACATATACTCTATACTAAAAATGAAAGTACAAACCTTTGCAGAACCACTTTTGACTCCCTCAAGTAAAATCTTGTACCCCTTTTTATTGTCACTTTCTAAGTCAGCAATTGAGGATGGCGTTTCATAGGGAGAGTCCTCAAATTTTATGTATCTTAAAACAGCATCTTTCTTAGGCCCCAAAGTCACTATATTCCATTCAATTTCCACCCCTTCCAAGGTGGAAAACTCATTTCCTTGATCATCAAGTGCTTTAATTTCAAAATCTTCTGGAGCCTCTTCCATAAATAATTCCCTGGTTGTTGTAGTAATGGATAATGATTTAATTACATCCACAATAACATCACAACGCAGCATTTGTTTGGTACTCACATCTTCAGCTAATACCACAGCTATATTTCTTGCCGCTTCCTTTGTGACAGTTGTGACAATAACTTGCAAAGAACATTTCCTTTCAAAATTCTCATTAACTGGGGTCAAATTGATTATATCAGTTCTTGTTGTGGACCTAAAATTTTGTTTAGTAAATAATATCAACACAAATAAAGCTTGTTTACCATTTATAACAACCCCCTTCAGTAGCTTCTATAAGAAATTTCGTTGATACATCGCTAAATACTGGTAATAAAGCCCTTGGTACGTTTAATTTTGACGCGTTCACTATGGAAATTATTAAAAGTAAATTTAGTATAACATTTTTGAGTGAAAAAATGTTAAAATCCATAATTTTTAAAATGCCAATGCATGGATCGAAAACATTTGAGTTTGGTTATGTTTTCACATCCAAGATGGCTGACAATTAAAAAACGCGTTCAGAAATTTTTATTAATAGTAATAAGCTTATTTCCGTTCTATTAAAGATGAACTATTTTGTATATCATTACTTAATAGTGTAATAACGGTATTTACAGTTTGTTTAAAAAAAATAAATGTAAACTATCAAAAACAAAATTTTTAAAATATCAGAACGTAACGCGAAATATTTAAATTTAGAAAATGGGCGCCAAAAAGGACCAATCAAATGTAAGCCGAAGTTTGACGTTTTTATGATGTCATGTGCGGTTTTAAATTAATTAATTTGATCTTAAACTTGTATTCAAAGGAAATTATCTTATTTTTTGGTATTTCCCTTTTTAAAAACTATTTAATTTATGTTTTATTTTTTCAAAAAAATCAAAATTGTGACATTTGTGCAAATTGGCAACATGTCAATATCTCAAAATTTGAAAATTAAGGCGGCAGATATGAAACAATTTCCGACACTTGGTAACACGTCGTTAGGAAATTTGTAAACATTTACCATAATTTTGGTATTTGTTTTATAAAAATTACATAATGAGAGAAATTGTACATATTCAAGCGGGGCAGTGTGGTAATCAAATCGGTGCGAAGGTAATTAATAACATTTTCCTTGATAATTCCATATTTAGGTTGGTATATTTTAGTTCTGGGAAGTAATTTCAGACGAACATGGCATAGACCCGACAGGAACGTATCATGGGGATTCAGACTTACAGTTGGAACGCATAAACGTTTATTACAATGAGGCGACCGGAGGAAAATACGTGCCACGTGCGGTCCTGGTCGACCTGGAGCCGGGCACCATGGACTCGGTCAGATCGGGCCCTTTCGGTCAGATTTTCCGTCCAGACAATTTCGTGTTCGGACAGAGCGGCGCCGGTAACAATTGGGCCAAAGGCCATTACACAGAAGGCGCCGAATTGGTCGATTCCGTGTTGGACGTGGTGCGAAAAGAGGCCGAGGGATGCGACTGCATGCAGGGCTTTCAGCTGACGCACTCGCTGGGCGGGGGCACCGGATCCGGTTTGGGGACTTTGTTGATTTCGAAAATTCGCGAGGAGTACCCCGACAGAATCATGAATACTTTCTCGGTGGTGCCGTCGCCAAAAGTGTCCGACACCGTGGTGGAACCTTACAACGCAACCTTATCCGTGCACCAGCTGGTGGAAAACACCGACGAAACATACTGCATTGACAACGAGGCTCTGTACGACATTTGCTTTAGAACGTTGAAGCTTACCACTCCAACGTATGGTGATTTAAATCACTTGGTGTCGGCCACGATGTCCGGAGTGACCACTTGTCTACGTTTCCCCGGCCAGTTGAATTCGGATTTGAGGAAATTGGCGGTCAACATGGTGCCGTTTCCGCGTTTGCACTTCTTTATGCCCGGATTTGCCCCGTTGACGTCGCGAGGCAGCCAACAGTACCGAGCCCTGACGGTGCCCGAACTCGTGTTGCAAATGTTTGACGCCAAGAACATGATGGCGGCCTGCGACCCCCCGACACGGGCGCTATTTGACAGTGGCTGCCATCTTCAGGGGTCGTATGTCCATGAAGGAGGTGGACGAGCAGATGCTTAACATCCAAAACAAGAACAGCAGTTACTTTGTCGAGTGGATACCGAACAATGTGAAAACCGCCGTTTGCGATATCCCGCCCCGCGGCCTTAAAATGTCTTCGACGTTTATCGGAAACTCCACGTGCATTCAAGAATTGTTTAAGAGAATTTCAGAACAATTTACGGCTATGTTCAGACGCAAGGCGTTTTTGCATTGGTACACTGGCGAAGGTATGGACGAGATGGAATTTACCGAGGCCGAGAGCAACATGAACGATTTGGTATCGGAATATCAGCAATACCAAGACGCGACCGCCGAAGAGGAGGGCGAATTCGACGAGGAAGAGGAAGCCGACGAGGGCGAGAATTAAACATGAACACCCGAATTTTTCGACAAATCTTGTAGTACAATTTTTTGTTTGTAACTTGTTTCATTCTCACAGTACCTACCTACCTATTGATAACAATATATTTTATGGTATACATTATATTTTGTATTTGTTAAAATTATTATAAATGCCCACGAATATTCTCATTGTATTTTATTTACAAAAATTTAATAAGCCAATAAAAGACTATAAAATCTTTCAAATTTTTGCTGCATATAGTTGGCAGCTGTGACAAAATTTAATGTCAAAAAAGTGACAGTCCTTAATTCTGTTCTGTGAAAAAGTAAATGGGTTTTGTGTTTACGTTTATTTGATTTTTAAATGGTGAAATGTGTATCAAGATTAACAGGTTAGTGAGCATGGTATTGTGTTCTATTTGGGGCTTTATATATTATATTTTTTTATTTTAACCATAATTATTTTTAGACTTTTTTTAATTAAAAGTTAAGATAAGATTTTTTTGTAATCAAAAAATTGATGCTTTTTTGTGAAAACAAATAATTTTTTTTTTAATTAAAACATTGAGGCTTTTTTTAAAAATTCTTATTTGAAGCAAAAAACTTTACTTTAGCAAGACAAATGTATATAATATTTAAAAGGCGCAAATACATGCATGTATATATATGACTTAAACATAAGGCATTTTTATTATAAGTTATTTTGTAAAAACAAAACAACTCCAACTTAATTCTTATTTGAAGCAACTTTAATTTTGCAAATATACACGCGCGAGCCCGATTTCACAGGATTTTGGTTGTTTTTTAAAATAGGAACTTCAAACAAAAATATTCGGCTATTTCCGGAGTGTCATCGGTAAGTTATTTTTTTAAATTGTAAACATTAAAAACTAATTTTTGTTCTAAGATTTGGGGGGTATAAATAAAACATCAGTGTTTAGCAAGAGATAAAGTGAATTTTATTAAAATTCTAGCATGCAATGTTGCACTAGTTACAAAATAGGTCTAAATTTAGTACAAGTGAACTTTTGCATATAATAATTAATATATACAAGATATTACAGTCTGTTCAATATGTAATTTGTATAATTATTAATAACTATAAATACCTAGAAAGAAATGCAAAGTATTCTAAAATAATACATGCATTCTTATACACTGTCCTAAATATTAATTTAATTATACCTAATTTTTTAAAAATTCTTAATAACATCAACTAATAGAGATTGAAATAAAATTAAACACTCAAAAATACTTTTCAAGCAAAATGGTATTAAAATATTCGTTATAGGTATACCTAAATTAAATGTTAAATATATAATTTATTTACTATTTTTATCTGATTTATCACAATTTAAGCAGGTAGACTATTGTACTAAATACATACAGATAATAAATTAAGTAACAACAATAACTTATTTGACTAGATAAATAGGAATATTTGAAAATATTACAAATCTCTGGTTGTAACATTTTCAAATACGTATATTATTAGGTATTACTTCATTTCATCGTATTTTTATCGTTTTAACCAATACTTAGTGACACATAAAAATAACATAACAATATTAACAACACTTAAATCTTTTAACCATTGACTAAACAGCCCGTTTAAAACAGGTTTGTCAAAGACATTGACTAATGAAAACAAGACAAATATTTTTACACCTTGCACTTGAATAGGTAACAAATCTTACTTTAAGTTTAACCATATTGCATTAGGTATATTAAACACTTATGTTAAAGATGAAGATTTTACGTAGCCAGCAGGGTTGTGACGAGCATCTAATTCATAAATAACAGGATTGTTAAGATTTGTGGGACCGCTACATTTTTGTAACATCTAGCAACACTAAATATTTTCTTTTAATACTTGATTGTTGTCAGATGTTACAAGATTTGTTGGCCAACATTTTTTTCCGCGTAGGCCGCAATAGTTCAAAATATTTTATTTAAATTTTATCAAAAAGTTTAGAGTTTCACATAATCTCCTTCGATATAAAGGCACATTAGACTTTGAAATCGAATTGTTTTAACTTTTTGTCATGTTCTTCATTCTTAACCTCTTACGTCCTAGTCAATGTTATATAACACGTAAAATTAGGTTTTTTTTCATTTTATTTATCTATTAATTGAAATTATCGCGCGATAGCTTTATATCTATTAATTTTGAGGGATGCTCGACCCGTAACAGTCTTTATTATGGCCCCCACTTCTTCACCAGACATGTTTTCCACGTTTTGTCCGTTCACAGACACTAGCAAATCACCTTTCGCTATCCTACCGTCCAGGTCACCTGCACCTCCACCAACCTAAACAAAAAGTATATTTTATTAAGAGTTATATTCCCAATGAGCGATATTTAAAAAAAATTGTATATAATATGTATGATTAATGGGTTTGTGTCAAAAGATAGTTTATGCATAAAATAATGTTGTTTTTTATTAAATAAAAAAACTTTGACAATGATATACATATTGGATATATATCTGATATATCAGATATATATTCGATATAAGTATATCATGTGATATATTTAAATAATTATCATATTTTCGAACCCTGCTAATGTGTTTGATCTGCTGATTTAAACTAAACGTAAGTACACATTTTTCATAAATATAAACTTTACATACAATTTAAAACCGTATACCTACAGTATGATATTTGTTGTAAATTTTTCGTTTAAGTATACTTTCCATGCGAGTTATTTTAATTTCTGATTTTAAGTCTCTATAAATAATGAATTCATGAAAAGAAAAACAAATTACAGGGAAAAACAAAGGTGTTTATGTCTGAAATTTTTTGTTTTGCAAAAATTATTACTCACAATATCGGAGACATAAGCTCCCTTTCCTCCTTTTCGACCTTTAATGCTGAGTCCCACTCCTTTGCCCGGTTTTTTGGCCAGATCCAATTCGATTGGGTTAAATTCTATTGTAGCTGGTCTGTGTATGGTCATTTTCATCTGAAACGTACGACAAAAGCAACGTTAAAATTGGGTTGGTTTATAAATTATGATAATATTAAATTACGTTCACTAGACTACAAAATTACAATTTTAATACGAAAAGTGTTTTCGTTTTATAATATAACATATTATAAAGTTCTTAATGCAAAGATTTCTAAAAATCAAGAAAAACAAATTTGTTTCCATACCTTTGGCAGTGTTTGTCTTAATGCTTGTAATGCAGCTTGATGTGTTACGTCTTTTAAAGGTGTACCGTTTACGTCTAAAATTTGATCGCCCGGTTGAAGGCGACCATCTTTGTCGGCCGTCCCACCCGGATAAGCTTCCACTAGAATAATACCGTTCTGAAAATAATAAAAAATGTTAATTTTTTAATCAAAAATGGCGAATGCAACGGGCAAGAACATTATCCCCGGAGCATTCACCATTTTTGCAAAGTCATTTAAATTAATTTTTGAAGTTTTTTTGTAGAAACAACTTAATTTAATAGATGTGGTTACCTCCGAAATTATTTAGTTATACCGGGTGTATCTGAGAATAGGCGCACCCCTGTAACTTTTTTATTTATAAAGATAGACACATGAAATTTTGCATGGTTAATTAGGATATAAAATGATCTAGATTGATCTTTATGATGATACATTTTCTGATGACGAAAGGTCAAAAGGTCCATTTGAGGATGCTGAAAATTTCTTCAGGATTCCAAATATGTAAAAATATATAGGGCATTCCATTTAAAAATCGATAGTTGGTATCATTTCCGGCGAAACCGGAAGTTCAAACATTCATTTTGTACTTTTATAAGTGTCATTTTATATCCTAAATAACCATGCTAAATTTCATGTGTCTATCTTCATAAATAAAAAAAGTTACAGGGGTTCTCAGATACACCCGGTATAGGTAATTTAAATATAAACTAACTGCACTTTAAACCATTTTCGCAAGTCAATGTAGTCAGAGTCGAGGTCAAAGTAGTCAAAGTAGTCTTCTTGACCAAACCGACCATAAAGTTTAACCAGGTTAATTATTTCATAAGCCAACTAGTTAATCCAAATTAACCGGTTAAATCAATTACTGATGTAAATATTTTAAAAATGTATGATTAAACTTTATGGCTGGTTTGGTCGGCCAAATTGTACAGCACTAGTTATTTCCCAAGTTGTCTTTTTTTGTTTGGATATTATCTAAATTATTTTTTAAAATTTAAAAACAATTAAAAAAAGAAGTCGTTTAACCCTGCCTAAATGATGATACTTTTTAAATTTAAAGACAAAAGAAAAAATCATAACTTGCTAATAAATAGACATGCAAGAAAACATATGACATATTTTTGTAAGGTATTTTTCGCTCTATAAAAAGGTCAATTACGTTTTTTTCACAAAATCCTTTTTAAATGATATCGGAGGTCAAAATTTAAAATTGTCGTTTTTTTCTTAAGTTTGCTTTTTCACTTGGGTATTATCTAGGTATATTATTTGAGGGCATTCCACGTTACTCGGTAATTATAATTTTTGTGCCACCCGTCACAATTAAAAATTGTTAGTAGAAACCACAATTTATTAAATTAATATTTTATAATATTATTTTTATTGTGCTTATAAGCTTATTACAAGCATATTAAACAATACTTGTTACCAGGTCCTGTCCATATTAATAATGTAAAAATTGATTTGGTAAAAGATATTAAGTACTTGGGAGTTAAACTTGATGAAAATCTAAATTTTCACACACATGCACTTTATATTATGAATAAGATGTCAAAAAAATCATTCTTTTTAAAACGTGTTAGTAAAAATCTCTCCCTGTCAACAAGACTTCTATATAAATCGACAATTGCCCCACACATTGACTTTTGTTCAACAATTCTCTTTAACTTACCTGCATATACATAGAATTGGGGAAATCCAGTGCATACAAAACCGATGTATGAGAACAGTATTGTATTGTTATAGATATACTCCAATTAAAACTATGTTAAATGTACTAAATTTGTTACCAGTTTGTGATAGAATATTGTTTAATACTTTAATGTTTATATAATGTATATATATATATATATATATATATATATTATAAAATAAAAACAATATTCTACCTCAGTATTTGTGCCAAAATCTGTCATTGGTTTCTGACAGAAACAGTTACACACTTAGAAATAGTAATAATTTCAATATAGGTATTTGTAGAACAACTCAGATGAAAAACACTGTATTTTATAAAGGATTGGTACAATTTAATTTACTACCAAAATAAAAGAAAGCTTTAATATTAAACATTTTAAGACAAATTTACTTGAGCACTTCCGTAGAATCTGTGATTAGATATATATAAATTATTTTATTTTTATTGTTATACTGTACACTGAAAATTTTTATTTAAAAATTTTTACTACTACGTAATTGTAGTATAGGTTCAGTAGAAAATAAAAAGGCAAAATGTTTAATATACATTTACGATGCATAAAGAAAAACTAAGCATGTATCTAGTAATACTGCAACAAAAATGTAGCCTAAATTAGTATGAAATAATACTTGCTTTAGTATTAATGACGAACTAAAACCCTTAATATATAACAACAGGAAATATGTCAAATGTGTAACAGTTGTTATAGTAGGCTTAACTAAAACAGATCCTATTCAAAAGTATTAGAAAATGCTGCCACATTATAAGTAAATCAAGTAACAAGTAACTCTTCCGAATATGAATTCTTTCATCGGCACTAAACATTTATGGTAAGTATTACTACAACGTTCTATTATATCTTACAAATTTAGTTTTTTTTAATACTAAAACCAAGCTTATCTTTACTGTTCATCGCGCACAATCGCCATTGTTGTTAGTAAGCTTGCATAAAGACGCCTCAATGGACGATTTGCTAATAAATTGGAAGTTACAAGATTTAATTTGTGTTTTTAAGGGTAAGTAAATAATAAACGATTTATTTATTTATTTATTATTTATGTATTATTAAGAATATATACCTAACATAACTTTAATTTGCTTCATTCTAATATTACGCTTTTTGCTTTTGCTTGTAAAGGGGTACTTACTTCATTCTATTTAATAGTTTGATCAGTATCACCTTTAGGTTTATATTCGCTTGCAGCCTTTGCGTGGTGACGGGATAAACATTTTTGCCCTTTACCATAGAAAAACTATTCTTTTCTATGCTTTTCCGTAAAAAACCTATTTGGGTATTTCTTCTTACAGCCTGTAAGTTACAGGTATTTTTATAGTAAGATTCAATGTTCAATATTTGTTTTGAAGAGTTTTGACGTTATTTTTTAATATACTCGTATTAGTAATATCCAGAGAACAAGTGTTCTGTGGTAATCTATACAGTGGAGCTATGAGTTTGAAAACTTATAGCTAACCCTTTTGGGAATGACAAACACTTGTTTAATATTAAGTAAAATGTAACAAATAAGTAAATTATTTATTATATTTTTATTAAATGTTATATTGTTACACCTTCTCATATTTAGTATATATATTGTATTATTGTTGGTTTAGGTTTTTTTGTTTATCATAAAAGTTAAGGAGAAGATATCATTTATTTTATTCTAAAAATTTTATATATATTTTTTTAATAAAGATTTGTTGAAAAACATGTTCTCTTTTATCCTATAACCTTTACTGCATACTTTTACATAACACCAAAAAATCGATAATCGATAACCTTTTAATTCAGTATTTATTCCCTTTGGATGAAGTGACCAGATTTTGTCTAAAAATAGGGGGACATTTTGTATGAATTTACCTTAATTACAAAATTAACACAATGATACAATGCAAATTGAAAATTTACGTTACTTAATTATTGTTAATGTATCATTTTTGTAATTAAGGTTAATTTACACAAAATGTCCCCCTATTTTTAGACAGAATCTGGTAACTTTACGTTTGGAAGTAGTACTGCTTACCAAATAAGACAATTATTGGTGAAATACCGTAATTTTAGTACATACTGGTTATACAAGTACTAAATATTACCCTGATAAGTTATTAAATAATAAATATTACTCTTTTTAATAGCATTTCGTTGTTATTAAATATATCTTACTTAAAGCATATTTCAAACGACTAAAGAATGTTCAGACTTACTATAATGCAGTAGTAACTATCAGAATTCGGTAATTCTATTTGATACCACAACGTTGTAGTACTGCTTAAGAAGCTATTAATGGTTAATATGTAACACGACATCTCATTTAACATTACTAAGACTTAAAAACATTTTTGTTGTGGTAATAAATACCACAAACATTTGCTGTCACCTATTTCAACCGTAACAATCTATACTTATTTAACAATTTTTCGGTAACGGCTAAGGATACATTTTTTCAGTGTACATATCTTGTGGACATGTTATATTTATATTGTTATGTTATTTTTTGTATGAGAGCTTTCTTGCTAAATAAAGATTATTATTATTATTATAATATTTTAAAATAAATTTTATAACGTGTAGTTTTTACTCCCAATTTTTAATTGTTACGGGCAAGACAAAAATCCCAGAGTATCGTGAAATGAACCTTTGTTAACAGTCTAAAAATAATTTTGAAACAAAAAAAATGTTCCAAAGTCGTTTAACCCTGCCTAAATAATGATACTTTTTTTAAATTCAAAGACCCACTAACAAAATTATAACTCGCCTAAAATTTAATGTTTCAGAAAAAAGTTAAATTGCACTTCTTAATTTTTTAAGACCATAAACTTATTTTTATTATGTATTTTAATAACATACTTAACCAGTTATGTAAACTTCAACTTACTGCATTAATTAACAATTAAGGAATAGTTATCATAAAAAAAATTATCACAAAGTTAATTAAATACACGCTTCTTATAAAGTCAATAATATACAAGGTGCACCAAGTATCCTTCCACGAGTATAATAACATATGAGTATTTTTTTAATTGAAGAGCTTCAAGGTTAATGATATCAGAAAAGTTAAGTAATCACAAGCCTATTACAATGAAATTTGCAAATTAAAAAAAAAGCGGTTCTTAAAATAATTAAAAAAATAAAAACCTGTCAAAACCAAAAATAGCCATAACTTCGTTAGTTAAGTTTTACATCTAAACATACACATTTATTTACATTTTCATTACATTTCTTTGCTACTATATTTAGAGTTACCATCAATATCTTTTGTTTTTACATTGGTCGCCATAAGTTATAATAGGATTGCTTAATTTTTTTATCTAACCATATAAAATTCCAATATGTCGGCCATAGGAAACTCAAGCGATGGTGGGGTTAACTCAATATCTAGTGGACGAACAAAAACAAACAGTGGATGAAAATGTAGATAAATGTGTATGTTTACATGTGGAGCTT